AGCAGTCGATTCAAATCCTCGAGAGATGGTTTCTCGGATGACGGCATTTGCTCTGGGCCAATGCCAGCCAGTCTTATATCGGTGAAGAGTACTACCCTACACCACGATTGTCGATGCGCAGGACCTGTCGTAAGGGGTTTCGGAGTCGTGGGGACTAGTGAACTAGTAGACGAGACATGATGAGGTTGTATGGATGGATGCTTGCTTGCTACTCTGTACAGAGAGGGGGCGAGTCCTGTGCTGCGTGCGCCGGTTGGCCTCGTCGGCCGAACTTCCACCCCAGAGCTAAGGACATGGGCGCCCATCTGCCCCACATTAGCACGTACGGATGGGCCCATTACTAAAGCGCTTAAGTACCTGGATACCTGGGTACCTAGGAACCTAGTCCATAAGTATGCAGGCGCGTGGGAATGGGGACTCGGAAGGGCGTGAGAGGACGCCTGCGGGCCAACCAAGTCCAAAGGGTCATTAATCGTGAGCGGGAGACATGGACCATTCTGAAGCAATGCGCCAGGCGTGTTTCACGTTTAGCAAGCCTGGCCCTTGACTCTCGAGTGCTCATTTGTGCCCAAGCCGCCGTGGCTGGCCCCGCCGTGTACTGAGTACTCGAGAGTCGACAGCGACGGGGGTCCCCCATGGCCTCGCGTCGTCGGGAAAGGCTGTTGTTGGCCGTTCGGCTGGGGTTGGCTAGAAACGCATCAATGAGTCCCCACGGATATCATCATCACCGCCAGGCGCCTTACGATGCACTTGTTGGACGACGGAATCATGGGTGACGGGCTTGGTAGTGCAGCCCCGACCCCAAACCACCAGCAAGCGCAGCGTACACATGAATGAAGCCCACATCATCTCTGCCATTGTTTGCACTGGTGCTCTGGACACGTGTGGAGTATCGAGGACTTGCAGAGCCGGGAGTCTACTTAGTCACTGCAGTGACACTAGATGTCGACTGTCCGTGTACGGCATGTCCGAAATTGCGACCAGAGGTTTTTGGTGAGGTTAGTGAGGACTGCCAGTGCCCATTCGCCATTCGCATCGGTTGGCGAGAAATCAACAGCGGGTCAGCCGCAAATAAGGTTGCACTGACCTCTGCCGTGTGGAAACAATGACCGATCCGGCTGGAAAACACGGACTACTAACGTTAGTTAATTTTTTTTTTATTTCAATTTTTCTTTATGCTGCTGTTGCAGATGCTGGTTGTCAGACTCATCAAGTCCGGCTCATGAAAACTTCCGAGCACGCCATTGGTGTCCTCGGACTCCTGCAGCGGCTTCCCATGGCATTGTCTTTCGTCGCGAATGGTCCAACACGCGCTTACCGACAATGTGCTATGTATCAGAGAACCGAAGCTTTGGATTATGGACATCGGTAACATGTACACGTATGTGCTGGGTCGCATTGGAACAGACCAACATGCAGTCGAGTTATACAATGCACAACACCTCGTAACATACAGTTGCGTTCATCACGTTGTTTCTTTCTTTCTTTCTTTCTTTCTTTTTTCAGGAGCTGCTTGGGCGTCGTAGTAAAGTGTCACGCTCCTCCTCGAGTCTTGCTCATCGATCGGTGGAGCACAAGGAAACCAATTCAAAATCTGTTGGTTGCATCATGCCATTAGTTATTACTGTCATATGCCGCCGCGCTTGAAGGCCAAAATATGTCCGACGAATATTGATGACAAGGCAAGGTTGGGGCAAACCAGGTCATGCATGATCTGCACACAATCATGCGGCTATGGAGAACCACAACGGCTGGGCTTGGAATGAGTGGTAGGCTGGTAGCATAGCACGTAATAAACAGAGTCGCCAGCCTCTGTCACTAGCGGCTGGCACGTCCGGATGCATGGTATTATAGCTTTCGCATCATAGGGCGCGCTCTGATGGCGTTTTTCCTTCCCGGAGGAATCAGTATCGACGAGGGTATCGTGCTCCGCCTTTTCCGTACACAATGGCGAGCTTTCATGGCCCAAGGATGCTTCTTCCACTTGTTTAATTTGTCCATCCGTTCCTGACGTGCATGGTGAAAGACTTGGACCCCTGAGCGCCTAATAAGGGGAACACCTGTACGAAGTGTGCGCGAGTCGAATAAATCATGTTCCACTCGTCCAGATGTCTGAGAGCAATCGTGATCTGTGTAATACCACGAACTCTGTGGGTGTAGCCCGCATCTGCCCATTCGCTCCAACTTTTGAGTTGGGTGAAAATGGGTTCTGAGCAAAAGGATCCAGCGACAGGACATGCAACTCGAGTCGGGGCCGCAACGTATTGACCACCTGGGGTCAGCGTGCCGGTGGAGGCGCGGCCTGCCTCTGTCGTGCATGCAAAGCCGCAATGTACGGAATAATTGCCATGTAGTAGTACGGAGTAGTACCACTTTTACCACTTTTAATACCAGAGGGTGAGGAGGTCAACGTACGGAGGACAACTGCACATGTGCCGGCCACGATGCAAGAAGGCGGCGGCGGTAAAAGTGGGCATTGGTAGCGACAGAGGGAGGAAGGAGTACTACGTACTGTACTTGGCCATTGCCAGCTCCATGATGCGGCGGCAGGGGGGAGTGGGGTGGGAACCAGGACAAGGGACATTGAGAAAACACCCCACGGAGACGATGACTTTCACCTACCCCACCCGCCATGAGAGCCCGGGCAACAGTCTGTCATGTAATATTAGGTGGAAGAGGAATGGTGAAGGCAGAAGGAGAGGACTCGGGAGAAAAGGAGAGTGGACGCGTCAAGACATTTCAATGGTGAGCACGACTCTGAGTGCTGACAGCGTCCCCAAGTTAGATGAGGTGGACAGGAGTGCTGCATGTCCGCACATGCCTATTACGTGAATGTGCTTAACATTGAAGGCAGGGCAGCCAGTCGTGACAAGGACGCCAATTGGATCTACGTACTGCCAACTGATCCAGTTTCGAGATGGAAGGAACATTGATCTGATGCGAGACGGACGGAAGGAGCGTTGAAGGAGCGAAGCACGCTTGCGCGCCGCGCGCCACGTCGCACAGTCTCCAACCAAGCCACCACAAAGCCCCAGTTGATCCAGGCAGCTCGCTACGTAGAGTGCTCACTCTTCTCTATTGTATCTACTGCTAGCCTACCTTAAGTACCCAAGGTACCTTACGAAGTAACTTAGTTGACATGTCAAGTAAGGAAATCGACCCAAGGACGGAGGACTAAGTAGGTTCGGGCAAGTAGGGCGAGGCGGCGAGACAGACGTGCAGTGTTTGGCTGGTGAGATCAAGTCCGGCCGAGTTGGCATCAGCCATCAAAAAAGGCTGCAGGCCGGCTTTGCACACCCCTCAAGGCCTCCCCCTCCAGGCGACAGTACTCCGTACTCGTACCCCTAAAACTCCCGTAACGTCGACAGACAATGGTGCAAACCGTGAGCAACAAGTCTGACCATGGCAGCCAGTCTTCCGTACTCGGTCCGTCTGTCTGGTGGCCATCCTCATCTGTCTGTGCCTGAACTAGCGCCGCAACAGCGCGCACTTTCCACTTTCTCTTTGTGCATCGCCGCCGCCGCTGCCAGAAGCCAGTTCCATGGTCCACATCCACCGTGGTTGGCCATTGGCATTGGCAGTCCGGTCCACCCCAATTCTTCGTCCACTCACCGACATGCAATCCTTTCGAGACCCGTCGCCAGCCCGTCTGCCTGCCAATCAGAGGCCGACTGGTATCAAGCGTGCCCGTTCGAGTCGTTGGACCAAAGACCGGTCCCGCCACGCCTGCCAGGTCCCGCCATCCGCCATCCTTGTCAGTCCTTGCCAGCGCCTTTGCCTGAGCTAATATTTGCACGTGCCGTTCCATCACTCGGGCGGCGCTGCTCTGCCAGAGTCTCCCGGAGTTGCCTGTCGCCACCCTCTCTCTCCCGTCTTTCCCACCACCTGACCCCCAGCTTGTTGTGGTCAAGGTACTTAGTCCGTACAGCGCCGCTGTAACTACAGTACCCAGGTAAGTTGGTACCGGCCAGTTCCCTGTTGGTGCCTGTTGGGCCCATGCCATGTCCCCCCCTCCAACCCTCCTCGAGCAGCCCAGCACACGCCAGCACCCAACGCCTAGCACCCCCAGCACCCAGCACCCAGCACCCAGCACCCGAGCTCTTGAGTCTTGACTGCGGCTCCCGGCCGACGCCGCCCTGCCCTGACGCCACGGCCTCCATCATTTGGGCGACTGTGTGAGCCATAGGCCCATAAACCCCCCCGGACTCTCGTCCACCCTCGTACTCTGAATACTTCTCGTCTCTACGTTTATTTCTTCCCCTTTCCCCCCACCCTGCGATCCTCCCTTTTTCGACCTTGGATCATCTCTTTTTTTTTCTCTTCCATTTTCCGAGCCACGTTGTCCCTCGCGCCGCCCAACCCCGTCGTTGTCTTCACGTCTCCAAGACACGGTCATCACTCGGCGTTCCCTTGTTTCCGCTTCGAATCCAGCTGGCTGTTTGACGACGGGATATCGGACATCCATCTACGGACCTGGCGACCTCGTGTGTCTTGAATCTTCTTGCTTTTGCCTTCTTTCTTGTTGAGCCTTCCTTAATTCTCCTCGATCCTCGCTTCGCGCCTCGTCTCTGGCTTCGACCAGCCTTCAGTACGGCATCCCGCCTCGACGGCCAAAAACCAGGCCCATCGCGCCCGACTGAAAACTCGCTTGATGCAGTGGCTGGGTCGGGCTGTTTTTTCCCCGCTTCCTTCATTAAGTGCACCATCAATTTCGACTATCCGGGCTGGTCTCGAATATTTCCTCGTTCCTGTCGCGAACCCGACACGAGCATCGATCAAGGCAGTGCCTCTCCTGGAGCATCACTTTCACCTGGTAAAAAAAGCGATTGTTACTCGGAACACCGTAACGGCCTAACTGGTGTCCAATTGTGCATTCAGTTGCATTGCAACGTCTCTCGCCATTTACCTGCGCCCTGTGACCACACCTCACCAAAGGGGCTTCTCATTGCCAGTCGGGACGAGCGCGTTGGTTTCGACGGTCGGTGGAACACATCATCACAATGTACTCACAACATGCCACAATGGCACCCCAAAAGCCGGAAACCTTCATGCTGAGTACCGAAGCGCAGCAGGCATTGCCGCACGATGCTCAGGTCGCACTTCAACAAGTAGACAATTGTATGTCGCAGTCTCGAGCGGTCATGTCCCCGACAAGCCCTTCCGTTGGGTTATTTGTATTTACTAACCGCTGAGCTTCGCAGTAAAATATTTCCTCATCTCAGCCCCAGTTGATTGGCAACCAGATCAGTATATTCGCCGATTTTTACTGCCCACCGGCGAGTACGTCTCTTGTGTGTTGTGGAACAATCTCTTTCACATCTCCGGAACCGACATTGTACGATGCCTGTCATTTCGATTTCAGGCTTTTGGCCGCCCTGTCAAGAACTCCAAGAAGTTCGAGGAAGGCATCTTTTCTGATTTACGAAATCTCAAGTCTGGCACCGATGCGTCCTTGGAAGAACCCAAAAGCGCGTTCCTTGACTTTCTCTACAAAAACAATTGCATTCGGACACAAAAGAAGCAAAAAGTCTTCTACTGGTATAGTGTTCCACATGACCGCCTCTTTTTGGACGCTCTTGAGCGGGACTTGAAGCGAGAGAAGATGGGTCAGGAGGCCACCACAGTTGCAGTCAGCGAGCCTGCATTGTCGTTCCAATACGACTCGTCCCAGTCCTTGTACGAGCAACTGACAAAGACGCAACAAGCCAACTCGTCTTCATTCAATGCCCAACAGGCCACGTCGTTTCCTCAAAGCCAGTCGACTTCTCCCGTATTGAGGGCCATGGACTCTATGCCACCTCCGAGCATCATGCCTCAAAACATGGCTGCGCCCGTGGGTGAACCGATGGACCACCACATGGTCTCTTACGAAGCCATGCCGATGGCCACCGCAGTTCCCCAGCAAGTTGCTCACGTCAAAAGAGAACCTGACCTCACCCGTGTCCAGTACAACCAAAATGGTGTGCCCATCACGCACGGCCATCAGAGACATGCGTCCATGCCCACCTACGGCTTAGAGTACTCTCCCGCTCCGTCCTTTGTTTCCTCTCAGTACGAGGACTATAGCAACCGAGGCATCTCTTTCGAGCCCATCACCCCGCCTCAGCATGCACTGGCCATTACGGGAGAGCCTGCATATATCGCCAACGAGGAGACCGGATTGTACTCTGCCATCCCTGATCATCTTTCGGGGGTCAATAGTCTCAATGGCATGGTTCCGTTGCCCCCTTCCAACCTGGCCGGATCGCAGTTCACTCGTTCGTACGGCACAAATAATGTATATTCTGTCATCGAAGGTTCTCCGACGTACAAGCAGCGACGACGTCGGTCTTCGATTCCGCCGCAAATGTCCGCTATTCCCGGTGCACCTGTTCCCAACGCCGCAGCTCACCGGCCGTCTGATTTGAGACGATCCGTTTCAGCCTCTGTTGGTCCTGTGGCTGAGGGTGAAGAGTCGGCCGATAATTCCCCCCCTGGACTTTCCTACAGTGCATCCGGCATGTCCATGGTCAGCCAACAACACAAGGATGTTGTCGATTTGTCTCGGCACGGTACGCCACTGTCCAACGTGGATGTGAGCCCCGCACTGAACTCCATGGCCCTTCAACAAGGCTATGGAGATGAGCTTTCTCACGACGGCGTCATCAAAGATCACCGTCGCACCCTGTCTGGCCCCAGCGGCGTCATTCGACGGGCTCGTTCGGCTACTGTGATGGAGCTAGGCCCATACCCCCACAAGTCTCACTCATGCCCTATTCCAACTTGTGGGCGACTCTTCAAGCGTCTCGAGCATTTGAAGAGGTATGTCCAGACTTCTCCATGACATATCAACCGATTTTGTAGACACTAACTTTGTGCCAGACACGTCCGAACACATACGCAAGAGAAGCCCTACATTTGTCCTCACTGCAGCAAAGCATTCTCTCGTTCTGACAACCTTGCTCAGTAGGTCTGCTTTACACAGCCATTTCAGCTAGAGGAGTTCATTTTTTTTGTCGATAAAGATTGACTGACTCGTCTTCTACCCGCAGGCACAAACGCACTCACAGCCGCGAAGATGGCGGCGAGGGTTCTTTCAACCTCTCCGCCGAGGAGGAAGAGGAGTACTCGGGCGAAGATCGCCTCGGCTCTGTCGAAGAGGCATCTCCTACGTCGGAAGCTGCATACGTTCCTACCTCTCTCAATGCTGCTGCCAACGAATCCGTCTCATCTTCAAATAATATCGGCAACACCCACAATAGCGCCATGCACCAGCCTCAGGCATTCAGCAGCTTGCAAACCCTCAGCATGCCCATGACTATTAGCCAACCAGCTACGATTAACGCCAGCGGCATGATGTAAAAAATTGATAATTTCATGAGATATTCCAACTCTATTTCGCTTTCTTCTCTTGTTGTTACATGAATCACCCCTGAGGATCTAGCTCAGTTATTCAGGCGAGGAATTGCTCAGATACTACCCAAGTCAGCTACTACTGCATCTTATTTCCATTGATCTGTCTTATCTTATATTATTTCTCAGTTTCCCCCTCATTCTTCTTGCGGTCCCTGACTGGTGGAAAAAGGAGGAGACAACCCATAGATGTGTGCTCGGCGTGCTGAACGATAAGGACGAATCCATCGTTTATTACAAGATCTTGGACGGACATGTAGGAACTATATTATTCAGACGGAGATGCAGGATAGGACGCCTTTGTACATTTACTGCTTTTAACTCGGAAATCGGTGGGGCAGATGGGAGGAACTTAGATGTAGGCCTTGGCGATGCCATTGAGCGGGCTGTTGTACTTGAAATGAAACGACCAAAATACGAACAAAACGAAGTGTTTCCCAGGTTTGTTGTTGTTGCCAACTAGGCACCGCCGCAGAGAGACCAAGTAAGCCTCGCCTTCGACGAACACTGCCCGTTGACCCATCTATCTTGCCGCTCTGCGCCCAAATACATCCCGCTTACCCTCGATCCTCTTGACGTCTCTGTCGGTGATGCGCAACTCGGCACCCTTGAGTCTGCCCACGCTCGGCCTGTCGACATCACTTCTCGGACCTCTCTGCCGCCTCTTCTTGCCCGTTTCCCTCTCCAAGATGATTCCATTCTCCTTGGCCTCGCGTCTCCTTTTGGCCTCGCGCGCGTGCGAAGCGGCCACCATGCCCTTTCTCATATGCATCGGCATCTTGTGCTGCCCGTGTATCGATAGCTTCGAGCCGAGCGCCTGGATGCGCAAGTCGGTTGCCTTGTGGCGTATGCGCCCTGCGGCAAAGGACTTGGGCTGCGGGGCGTTGGAGGACACAGACGAGAGGGACTTGGTGGCCGCGTGGGGGGCGAGCAGGTGCGACTCTGCGAGCAGGCGGCGGAGCTCGAGGTCCTGCTTGAGGAGGGAGGGTGCGTCCTCGGGGAGGGCGGACGACTTGGAGGAGCCGCTGGGCCGGACGGGGTCCGGGAAGGCGGTTTGGTCGGGGGGCCGAGAGGACTAGAGATGGGAGTCAGTCAGTCTGTCTTGGTCGGCGACATGAGGGGGGAGGGACGGACCATGAACGCCCTCAGCTGGCGCCTGGACATGGTCTCCCCGGGCGGCCGCGGGGCCGAGTGGTCGATTATCTGGACGGCCGGTGCGCGTTGGACAGACGAACACGGCCTGCCGTCGCCGCTGGGTGCGCGCCTCGCATGATGCCCGTCGTCGCTGTGGCTGTCGTCGCCGCTGTCGTCTGAAAGCCCGCCCCATTCGGAGTCCCCTTCGCTGTTGGCCTCGTCTGCTTGCCCTCCTCCCGGCGGGCTGGGCGTGGAGGCGCTTCCGGCGAGCGGCTGGAACGTGGCTTCGAAATGGCGGCGGAGCAGTTCGTGTGCGTCTGTTTCGCGTGTTGACGAGTCGGGCGCCTTGCGCTTGCCGAGGACGGCCATTCTGTCGCTCGTGGAACCTTTGTGGTGCGTCGAGGAGGTGGTGGTGAGGTGTCGATGTGCCGGAGAGCAGCGGGCTGGTGGTTTGAAATTTTTGGGAGAGGCTGCTCATGCTCTCAGCCTTGTTCTTGGCGCGCGTTAGCGGCGGCGTGGGCTTCAAACATTGGTGAGGGCACCGGAGCGGGGGCCCATCGGCGCTTGCGTGCCCCAAATCCAACGTCTCAGCCTCGACTCTCAGGTACGTACCAGACTCCGCAATGACCTTTGTCCCGACTCCAAGTAACTTACTCCGTGGCTGGACTCATAAATCATGCAGCAAAACTTTAGACTGGTTGACTGGCAATCCCTCGTCCTGGGGGTCCGGACCTTGGCGCGACCATGACGAATTCGACTCTTTATTTATTTATTTATGTTTTGCTTTTGCGACTTGCAAATTTGGGCTGGTGCTGCCTTGAGCAATCACCTCGACACTGGCCTTGAAAGCGTGCAAATGGTGACGACAATCTTTCGGTCTACATACCAGTGAACATTTGTCTCCATTCCGTATCGTACACTAGAAAAAAGAACCGTCCTGTTCGACCTTTCAAGCCCAGAGCCCCGTCTTCCATGGTATCATCCCAAACGCCCGAGTATGCGGTATGCGGCCGCGCTTCCGTTGACGCAATCATGATTTCCCAGCTATTCTGGCTCGCCTTGCGTCGTCCTCCCGTAACGCCTCGCTTCTCGCCAAGAAGTCCTGTCGAGCGGTATACGAATCCTTGGACTTGCTCGCCAACTCCAGCTCGTCCTTGATTCCCTCCTTGTCCACGTATCCTGCCCAGTCTAACCTACTCTTCTCCACGGTATTGAGCTTCTTGGCTCGGGCCTCCCTGCCAGCTTGAATTCTCGCAGCAAGCCCGAGATTCAAATCTGCCCGTCCCGGCCCAAAGTCTATAGCAGGCTCAAATGCGGAGCGGAACGCTTTTCTCGTGGCGCGCTTTGTTGGCGATGAATCCATGTCGCGGGTGTCTTGGCCCTGCGACGCAAGATACAGCTTGGCCTCGGCGGAATCTCTGGCCACAACCTTCTCCTCGGTGTGAACCCGACCGGCAAAGTTGAATGTGCGCTTAATGCGAATGCTATTCGATTGGGGGCCATCCGATGAGGCGGTTGCAGCGGCATGACTGTCGGAGAGCTCTCTCCTCGGCTCCCTAGTTGCTTCGTCTGACGGCGCGCTGGATTTGATTTGCTCGCCGGATATCATCCTCGCCCACAGGGCATCCACGTCGATGGTAACGGGGCCATGGCTCGCGGCGTACTTGCGTTCCTCTTTTCTAAAAGAAAACAAGAAGGAAAAAGGAAAAAGCATTCTGTTAGCCTGCAGCCATTCGCATGAGAAGACGCGACGGAGGAGGAACTCACTCCGCTGCACGTTGAGCACGAGTCTTGACCAATCCTCCTTCGCCGCCTTCATCTTCGTCCACGGGGCGACCCTTTTCTCCTGCTCGCTTCCGTCTTTTGTTGCCCTTTGATATTACGGCTTCGTCGCCGGAGTTGTCGTAGCCATCACCGACCGCCTGTCCGTCTGCCTCGGGCTGCTTTCGCTTCTTCTCGCCGGCTTTTCCGTCTTCTTCGGTATCCGACTGGTCGGACGCTGGCTCGGGCGCTTCATCGGGAGCAAAGTCCGAGTCTTCGGACGAGGCGTATTGTTCGTCTTCCTCGTCTAATACTAGATCCGGAGGCATCCTCGTCGCCCGCCGTGTGGTTGTAATGAGTAGAGGAGCAAAACGGCCAGCGGCCTTTTGGCGACGTGCGTCTTGCGTTTGGGCGCCGGGGTCGCGCATCTATACGGGGCAAAGAAGGCAGCGGCAGCCAATCAAAGGCGAGAATTGCAATTGCCCGACACCGGCCTCTTTTGTAAGCGGCATTGTCCGCCGTCAAGTCACAAATAAGCAAAGTATTGAACGTCTGCAGATTGTCCAATTACACGGACACATCGTTCCCTGCCGCTTCTTCCATGGAACCCTCCTCTCTCGTTGGCACAACATGATGTCGTCATTAGGGAGGCAAGGAGTGATGCGTGTCTCTGTTCTATCACCTGGGGAACCGCCGTCTATATCGTGTCCGTCTCTCCACACGGCAGTATCATGATTCATCAGTCACCTCTTCGCCTACGAGTGCTTATTGTCCACTCATGTCGCCTCCTGTCTTCACCGAATGGAGCTTGTTGCCGCGGAATCCGCACCACCTCCCGGAGCACCCGGGGCATGGTCCTTATGTCGGGGAGATGCAATTCTGCTGCTGTACGGTCGGATTACAGAAGCGACCGACGAGCTAGGATGTCGGTAAAAGGGATTTACCATGAAAGCGTCAACCTGCAAAGCTGTCTGACGGCCGCAAGCAATATTCTGCAGCTTTTCTTGTTCCTGACTGGTGCCTCGGACGAGACGTCCTGCGATATTGTTGCATGTGTGATACGCCTTGAACCACCAGGCTCTGGAGTGGAAAATCTCCGGCCAACTGACTTCTTGTCTGTCCAGTGATACCAAGCCGAGGGCGTTCTGCTTCGATAAAGCAATCGAGTCCAGTTTGTGAGGGCTCTCTCCGCCTGGTGTCACCGCTATTCCGCCTCCTGAGCACGCATGACCGGGCCGGGATGCACCACAAGACACAGGCTAGGTTGGTACTGCCTAGCAATGCATGACTCGATTTCTCCTTGCTCTTACAGACCGCTTACGTCCGTATGACTGAACAAGCGATGTCATACGTGGCAACGGGGTGTGCCATGTGATGTAACGCTGGAAATGTTGGTCTGCTTTTGTCTCGCATAGCTCGTGCAAGTTGAATCGGCCTCATGCTCGGCCTCATGGCCATGAGATCTGTTGTACTGACAAATCATGCATTTGATCTGCAGTGCTTCTCCAAGACACATTGATCGAGCGGTGCTATTTGCACAGTCCCCGTTTCTGACGTTTTCCTGCGCAGCATGTCCGATGAGTCGGGTCACATTGCAGTAACCAGGTTGGCCAGTGGCAGCCCCCCGAACACACGATCTTGGAGGCAAAAGGCCATCGCGCTGCCCGAGGACCAGAATCTTTGCCGCCATCTTAGGTGCGTGGGGTCGTCCCACCAGCTCGGCAAGCTACGCGTTGTGCCGAGTGTACTCACTCGTATGAATTTCAATTTGTGCGTCCTATTCGATAGCCCGCCTTGACTATGTAAAGGCCGGCAAGCACGGGAGGTGGGTGATTCAGAGGGGATGCAGCCTGGTGATGCATGAGTACCGCTGAGGAATTTGGTTGTTATAGGCAGGAACTTGTTTAGTTATAAATTGAACGAAGGAACGCATGTCTGGTACCAGTTTGTCCACCTCTCCTTGTTGAGATTAAGTCAGTTTTCCCACAGATAAGCAAGACTAGCCGAAAACATGGAGTCTCAGGTCGCATACCATGCCCCCAGACTGGTTGGCGTCGCTCTACTTGCAACCGCAGTATATGTTAGTATAGACGTCTTTGGGTCTGATGTTGGTATACTAACCTCGATGGATACAGTTAATATATTCCGCTCTGTCCAATCCTCTTTCCAAGCTGCCTGGTCCTTGGTATTCGAAATTTACAGACTTGGTTGCCAGATACCACTACTACAAAGGAAACAAAGTCTTCTATGTCCACAAGTTGCACAAAAAATTTGGTACAGCCTCGTGATTCTCCACGGCATTGTATGAAGGAGAGGTAGTAATCTCATGGAACAGGTCCGTATGTTCGCGTCGGCCCGAACGAGATCTCCGTGGCCGACCTCGACGCAGTAAAAATCATTTACAGCACCAGAGAGACGTTCCGGAAAACCATATTTTACAGACACTTGACTGCACAGCCCATTTCGAACATGTTTACGACTGGCGATGTTGACTATCATCGGAAATTGAGAAGACTCATGTCCGCACAAATGTCAGAGTCGTCCCTAAAGTTGCATCTTCCGACGGTAATGTCCCGCGTAGAATTGGCCATCCAAAGAATGAAGGAAGAGATGAAGACCCAAGGACTTGTGGACGTCTTCAAATGGAGTCTTTTTATGGCAACAGACGTCATAGGCGAGCTTGCCTTTGGTGAGTCGTTCCAGATGTTAGAGAAAGGCGAGGTATGTTGCGGTGCCCGCGTAAACACTTGATACCCTTGACCTGCTAGGACACTGACGCGGTTTGGACGGCAGAAAAACCAGTACATCCGCGACCTAGAGGGAGTCGGAGCTTTATCTGCAGTTCGAGTCTGCTTCCCAAGGCTACTTGGATTGGCACGAAAATACCCACTGCCCATCTTTCAGAGGAACCTTCAACAAGCTGGCCGAATTAAAGGCTATGCCGAGCAGTCTCTGAAACGCTATCAAGAGTATATTGACGAAAAGCCAGACGCACCACGGCAAATATTAGTCACCAAGTTGTTCAAGGCCCGAGAGGATGAGAAGTTGTCGTTCCCGGAGATCGTGATAAATGCCCAGTCTTTTATTGTAGCCGGCAGTGATACAACATCGAATTCTCTGACCTACCTGCTCTGGTCCATCTGTCGCCGTCCTGAAATTCGGAATGCGCTTGTGAAGGAGCTCCAAAAGTTGCCTGACGAATTCAGTGAACATGATCTGCGAGAGTTGCCTTTCCTAAACCAATGCATCGATGAAACGCTTCGTCTCTTTACCGCAGCTCCAGCAGCACTTCCCCGAGCGGTTCCCGCAGGCGGAGTCGAGTTTGGAGATTATTGGCTCCCCGGAGGCACCACGGTAGCAACCCAGGCGTATACAATGCATCGACATCCAGAGATTTTCCCACACCCTGACGAATTTGATCCCCATCGGTGGGCCGCGCCAACAAAAGCCATGAAGGAGGCCTTCATGCCATTCGGTCGTGGACCGAGAAGTATGTCCTCCAACCGACGCATCATCTGTTGTCAAGACTTGACCCTTGACCGCTGACGCCAACTCAGTTTGTATAGGATTGCACTTGGCGTATATAGAGCTTCGGCTCGCCACGGCACGTTTTTTCCAGGAATTTCCCACGGCACATGTATCTGCGCGTGACGGAATGTCAGACAATGACATGGCTGAGACAATTTTTTTCCTGATGAGCCCCAAAGGACACCGGTGTTTGATCGAAGAAGCATGATGATAGCTGCGTTGCGCTAGGTTTGTTTGCAGGCTAGACAGTTGGAACTAGAGACTAGGTTAGTTCAGGCGCGAGAGAACGAAATCGGTGGCGGCAGATGGACACCAAGGAAGGCTTAATAGGTGCTGATCAATTGAACCAAGTATTGAGCTGGATCGTACGCTGATTCTAGATTTTCCACGTCAAGACGGAAGAAAGTGCCGAGAGCCAGCCCCACACGTGACGGCACGATTCTGGACGCAAGAACTGGGATGCAAGCGTGCAGGCTTCGCACCTTCTGGATCAATCCAAGGTAAACCTTTGCAGCTTTATTGCGAAGTTGCAGATATGGCAAGCGACGACGATTTCGAAGTAGAGACGCCCGACTTGGCAGAGCATGATCCTATGAGAGCCTTCCTTCCAGCCTCCTTTGGCAAGAAATCCAAGGAAGCGAACATTGCAGCCCAAATCGACCGAAGTAAGAGGAACACAAATGCCACAGCAACTACTGGTTTGCTAGATGCAAAGGTGTCGGAGGCGAAGGAACCCATCCCCAAGGGGCGGGATTCTAGCGATAGCGATGATAGCGACGACGATTCGGACGATTCCGACCACGGAGATGAGTATCCCGTGTCTCACGAACTTGTTTTGAAGACACACAGTCGTGCGGTTACCACGGTTTCCTTGGATCCCTCCGGAGGCCGACTCTTGACTGCTTCTCTCGATTGCATAATTAATTTTCACGACTTTGCGTCCATGACACCAACTACACTACGAGCATTCAAGACCGTTGATCCCTATGACACGAAGAAATCATCCAGTACGGAGTCGCACCCCATCCACCACGTGGAATTCAACGAGCTTTCTGGAGGCGTCTTCCTATGTGTCGCTGCTCACCCGCAGGCTAAAATCATGTCAAGAGACGGTGGAATCCTGACGGAATTCGTCAAAGGAGACATGTATCTCAGAGACATGAACAACACGAAAGGTCACATTTCAGAAATCACTACTGGAACGTGGCACCCAACAGACAAGAATATTTGCGTCACGGCCGGCACGGACAGCACGCTGCGAATATGGGATGTCAACAACAAGCGATCTCAAAAGGAGGTAGTGGTGTTCAAGTCCAAAGCCGCAGGCTCAGCAGGCAGAACGAAAATGACAGCGGTAGCCTGGGCCAAGCCATTTCAGGGTGGCAATAATGTGCTTGTGAGTGCAGCGCTCGACGGTACCTTGGTTATGTACGGCGGCAATGGACCATTTGCTCGACCTGCGGGTGAAATTCAAAGCGCCCACAAGCCACACACTTGGACCAGCGGCATTGATATCTCTTCTGATGGCCGCATGGTAGTTACACGAGGGGGTGACGACCTTATCAAGCTCTGGGACACCAGAAAATTCACCGGACCTCTTGTCAGCGTCTCTCACACAGCCACGGCAGATCACTTCACGACCAGCAATATTCGATACTCGCCAAACTCCACCAGCATCATTACCGGTTCGGAAACAGGACATTTGCATATTCTGAACCCTGGAAATCTTCGGGCTGAACATGTGACACCTATAACACCCGGGTCGCCTTTGGTCACTGTGAATTGGCATCCAAAGATCAACCAGATTGTTACAGGTTCTGCCAACGCTGAAACGCACGTCTTGTATAACCCAACAACCTCAAGCCGCGGCGCCGTGGAAGTCATGTCTCGAGCGCCGAAGAAGCGCCATATAGACGACGACCCGAACTTGACGATGGATCAAGGGCTAGGCATGTCTGGCGATGCAATCATCACACCTGGTGCGTTGCCTGGTGCCAAGAAGTCGGGCGTGACTGGGACTGGTCGCTCGAAGGATCCGCGTCGACCCCATATCCCTCAGCAAACTCCATTCCAAAAGAACCAACCAGACGAGAAACATGTTGCTAAGAACATCCCACTTGCTCGCATGTTACACGAAGATCCTCGGGAGGCGCTGTTGAAGTATGCCGACAAGGCCCAAAATGATCCGATTTTTACCAAAGCATGGAGTAAGACACAGCCCAAGACACAGTACGCGGAGCTAAGCGACGAAGAGGGTGATGGGCCGGACAAGAAGAAGGCGAAAAGGTGAATCCAGTATGTACGACTCCCCTTTTGGAATGGATCGATTTAAATATTAGGCGCGACCCCATGCACGATTTTACCGCCGCCACTACCGATAGCGGGAGGTCCACCAGGGCCGATTTCGACAAGTTACTTTTGCTCAGCCCGGTGGTAGTATGTATGTACAACGCGAAGGATGTGTGTCTCTCTCTCATGCAGCATGATGGCCCAGACGAACTGAACTGTCTGCGGTGCTCGGAACGCATCCTTAATTACATGCACCCGTAATGCCGCGAGGGTTGCAGTGGATGTACCACTCTCCGCAAGGTCCCAGAAGCATATTGGGAAACCCTGTCATCGCATTGTCGATACCCATTCCCCGCAGACTTTTCCGGTCGATATAGACGTGCCCATCAGTCCATCAGTAAAGGCTGGGTATCGGGCCCAAATCTTCAAAGACACGTATCTGGGGCGTTCGCTGCATCAAGGAGATTGTCCTAGATGCGAAAGCGTTACGCGCTTCATATATCGGTACACGAGGTACCTACCTAGGTAGGCAGGTATTTATTTGTCGCAGAGTTTGGTTTCTGACCGTTGAAGCGCCATGGAGTTTGCAGTACCAGACCGACGGTCAAACCTGAGAGGTCCGTCCCCGGGGACTTCGAGGATTACCTAATACAGCTGGATTTGACTTGCCCATGCCCTTTCACGTGACCGCACACAGCCAATCGCTGTGTCGTTCTCGAGCATGAGTGGCGGGATTCCGCCTGCGCAGACGTCGTGCTGAGATTTACCGTGGCCAGGCGGCCCAGACTGCACCAGCCATCACGCTCAATCTTGTCCGTTGTCTTCACCACTCCCCATCATCAACCAGCGAGGAAGCGCGCGCGCATCCCGAAAATCGCCAGGTCCCCTCGCAAACCATCCGCAGCCATCTCCAATCCTCGCCAACTTGGTGTTGCACGCGATTTGCACGCATTCTACGCTCGAGGTACCCGCCCCGACGCGCCCCGTCACTCCATTCGCACTTTTTCAATCCCTCGCCGCCTCCTGGCCTCACATCCGGTGGTCTCCTACATTACCTGAATCCCTTGTGTATTTTCCACCCCCACGCCTCGCCGGCCGACATACAGCCCGTCCAACGCGGCCGTATCTGATATCAGACGACTTGCAACACGCTTCCCCGACGTGTATACATTCGCTCGGACAGTGTCTCTCGCTGCGCAACGCTCCATTCGCCGAGCATCGACGCGACGTCTGAGATTTTCGTCTCTCTCTTTTTTTTTTCTTTTCGCATTCCGCTTCCGTCTCTTTTCCCTGTTGACCACTTCGCGACGCTCGAGAATCCTTTTTGCTCGCAACACGACCATCCGTAACCAGTTCACCATCGTCATGCTCCGTAAATAATCCGAAATCACAATTGTTTTACCATTGGGGTATATTTTTCGGTGCAGACAAAAACCACGGGTCCATCATGGCGTCGGTGCAAGCTCCGCCTGCGGTGCAACACCCAGGTGCGCCGATGCCTGCCGGCGCAACCAAGCAGCAAGCCGAGGAAGTCTTCAGGGTACGTATCAAGCACGGCTATTTGACAATGGATCTCCATGTCGATGCCCGGCGGACCAAGTCTGATGACTCGGATACTGATTGATGCATATGTAGAAGCTGAAGCAGATGAAAGAGCAAGGCGTCCCTCCCACGGACCCCGAATATGTCAAGGCCTCCCACTTCTTGATGAACTTCCAACAACAACACAACATGCGCAGAACCCAACAACAGTTCATGCAACAGCAGCACCAGCAGATGCCAAATGGTGTTTCAGGCGGCCGACCGCAACAAGGCACTCCTCAACCGGCGCAAACCAACGCTGGCCCTCAAGGCGTTCCCGCAACTACAGCACAGACACCCGGCGCTGTTTCCACTGCCCCATCTGCTCCAGGCTCTGGCTCAAATCAGTTCAGTCAACAACAGCTTGCTCTTTTGAGGCAACAGATCCACGCATTCAAACTTCTCGGCAAGAATGCTGGTGTTTCTGTTCAGTTGCAGCAGGCTATCTTTAATCAAAGACAGCGTCGGCAGGCTTCTGCCATTGATGCCATCTCGAACTCTGCCAAGACCGTACACTCAAGTCAGGATGCCGAGAAGGCACCTTCAGCAGGACCAGAGATGCCAACCGACGAAGAACCTCCCATACCCAAAGCTTACACGTACAAGTCTGTCAAATCGCCCTATGGTACGAGCATGATTCGACACTCGATCAGATACCTTGATCATGCGCAGCGCAAGAACCGTTGGTTCATTCCGGGCGTCTTTCCGACTGGTATTGACTTCGACCACCTCCGGTACGAGCGAGAAGTTGTCATATTTAATCGAATGAGCCAACGCTACGCTGAGCTCAAGAATCTACCGGCAAACTTGGCTCACTGGGACTCCACAAAAGAGACATTGGAGGCCGATGACACGCTAAAGCGAAAAGCCATAATCGAAATGAAGAGCCTTGCTTTGTATGCTAAGCAAAGGGCCCTTCGGGAGAAAATCGGCCGACAAATGATGCATTATGATAATTTGGCCATGACAACGAACCGAAGTCATTACCGCCGAATGAAGAAGCAGAACGTGCGTGAGGCTCGCATCACTGAGAAGCTTGAGAAGCAACAGCGTGACGCCCGCGAAAATCGAGAGAAGAAGAAGCACAGCGATTTCCTGCGTGCCATCTGTCACCACCGCGCTGAAATCCAAGAGAGTGCCAACTCTCAGAAGACCAAGTCGCACAAGCTCAGCCGTCTCATGTATGCCCAACACTTCAATATCGAGAAGGAAGAACAGAAGCGTATAGAGAGAACGGCCAAGCAGCGTTTGCAGGCTCTGAAGGCCAATGATGAGGAGGCGTATCTCAAGTTGCTTGACCAAGCCAAGGACACTCGTATCACACACCTGCTCAAGCAGACGGATGGTTTCTTGCACCAACTGGCGTCGTCGGTTCAGGCCCAGCAACGCCATGCTGCCGAGGCCTACGGTGATGATGCCGAGCCATTCGTTGAAGAAGAGAGTGACGACGACGACGAGGAGAGTGGCAAGAAAATCGACTACTACGCGGTTGCACATCGCATCAGAGAAGAAGTTACCGAACAGGCCAGCATTTTGGTTGGTGGTACCTTGAAAGAGTATCAGATCAAGGGTCTACAATGGATGATATCTTTGTACAACAACAACCTTAATGGTATTCTTGCTGATGAAATGGGTCTGGGAAAGACCATTCAGACCATCAGCTTGATCACCTATTTCATCGAGCGCAAGATGCAAAGTGGACCTTATCTCGTCATTGTACCTCTGAGTACCCTCACCAACTGGAACCTCGAATTTGAAAAGTGGGCACCGTCTATCAGCCGAATTGTCTACAAGGGTCCTCCAAACGCCAGAAAGCTACAGCAGGAGAAGATACGACAAGGTCGATTCCAGGTCCTCTTGACCACGTACGAATATATCATCAAGGACCGACCGATTCTCAGCAAGATCAAGTGGTTTCACATGATTATTGATGAAGGCCATCGTATGAAGAACAGCAACTCTAAACTCAGTGCCACTATTCAGCAGTATTACACAACTCGCTTCCGATTGATTCTCACTGGCACCCCTCTTCAGAATAATCTTGCGGAGTTGTGGTCTATGCTGAACTTTGTTTTGCCCAATATTTTCAAGTCTGTCAAAACTTTCGACGAGTGGTTCAATACGCCATTTGCCAATACCGGTGGTCAAGATAAGATGGAGCTTACCGAAGAAGAGCAAATTCTTGTCATTCGTCGTCTGCACAAGGTCTTGCGACCATTCTTGCTTAGACGTTTGAAGAAAGACGTGGAAAAGGACCTGCCCGACAAGACCGAAAAGGTGATCAAATGCAAGTTCTCTGCCCTCCAGGCGAAGCTGTACAAGCAAATGGTTACACACAACAAGTTGGTGGTAAGCGATGGCAAGGGTGGAAAGACCAATGCTCGTGGTTTGAGCAACATGATCATGCAGCTCCGCAAGTTGTGTAACCACCCGTTCGTCTTTGACGAAGTTGAGAATGTCATGAACCCTATGAGCATCAGCAACGACCTGCTATGGAGAACAGCTGGCAAATTTGAGCTTTTGGACCGCATCCTACCCAAGTACCAGGCCACGGGACACCGAGTCTTGATGTTCTTTCAGATGACGGCAATCATGGACATCATGGAGGATTATCTGCGGTACCGGAAGTTCGAGTATCTGCGCCTTGACGGTACAACAAAGTCTGATGAACGATCAGACCTTCTCAAAGAATTCAATGCCCCTGACTCGAAGTACTTCATGTTCTTACTCTCCACTCGTGCTGGTGGTCTTGGTTTGAACTTGCAGACCGCAGATACCGTCATCATCTACGACTCTGATTGGAATCCTCACCAGGATTTGCAAGCTCAGGACCGCGCTCATCGTATCGGTCAAAAGAACGAGGTGCGAATTCTTCGTTTGATCAGCTCAAACTCAGTCGAAGAGAAGATCCTGGAACGTGCCAGGTTCAAGCTGGATATGGACGGCAAGGTCATCCAAGCCGGTCGATTCGACAACAAGTCCTCGGAAACTGACCGCGACGCTATGCTTCGAACCCTACTAGAGAGCGCAGATATGGCTGAAAGCGGAGAACAGGATGACATGGAAGATGAAGAACTGAATATGATGCTTGCACGTTCTGATGATGAAATCACAGTCTTCCAGAGGATTGATGAAGAACGTGCTCGGGACCCTGTCTACGGTATTTCAGCTGGTGCAAAGGCTAAGCCTAGACTCATGGGAGAAGATGAGCTGCCCGACATCTATCTGAACGAGGGCAATGTGGTTGAAGAGGAGACTGAGGACCTTGTGCTTGGCCGTGGTGCTCGTGAGCGCACCAAGGTGCGCTATGACGATGGCTTGACAGAGGAGCAATGGTTGCTGGCGGTGGACGATGATGAGGACTCACCCGAGGCCGCGGCCGCCCGCAAACAAGCTAGAAAGGATAAGCGAGAAGCAAACAGGCTCAAGAAGATGGCGCTGATGAACTCGATTGATAACTCACCTTCAGCCAGCCGCGCGAGCACGGAAGAGATCGAGACGCCGAAGAAGCGTGGTCGCAAACCTGGCAGCAAAAACGAGAAACGCAAAGCAGAAGATGGCGATGAAGAGCCGCCCGCCAAGAAGCGACGGGGTCCGCAAGGTCGACCAAGCAAGGCCGGGTCAGCCGCGGCTGATTCCAAAGTCAGTCCTCAACAGCGTGAACTTTTACAAAAGAGTTTGCGAGCCATCTATGATGCCATGATGAATCTGGAGGTGGACGACATTGAACCCCTGGCTGAAGACGACGAGTCGGATGCTGGCAAGCGCCTGATCATCGGCCCGTTTATCAAGCTACCGCCCAAGAGAGACTATGCCGACTATTATGTGATTATCCAGAACCCCATCTGCATGAATCAAATCCAAACCCGCATTAAAAAGGAAGAGTACTCCAGCCTCAGCGATTTGCGAAAGGATTTCCAGCTCATGATTCGCAACTGCCAGACGTACAACGAGGATGGCAGCATTCTCTACCAGGATGCCAAGACTATGGAGGTAAGTTTGGAGCAGCGCGAGTTGTTTTTTGGGGGACTATATCTAACGACGTTGCGCAGGAGTTTTTTAACAAGAAGTTTCAAGAGGAAATAGAAGCTCATGCCGAATTGCAGGAGCTGGAAGCAGGCAGCAAAGCAGGATCTGCTGCGCCATCGGGCCAGGGAACAAGCACACCACAGCCAAGCGGCGGTACTAGAATCAAGATCATTTCCAGCAATGCCCGCGCGAGCGAGGCTGCCAACGGCGCCAAGTCGTCTGCTCAGAGTGACGAGGAATGAAGCACACACACGACAAAGAAATTCAAGTTGGCGTGACGGGGCAGGGATTGGAAGGCACCACAACCTGTGCAGGATGTCAATAATACTCATAGCTGGCATCCTCGAAACGCGACTCATTCCCGAGTACTGGTGATGCAACGCGGCGGATCTGTTTCACATGGGTCATTTTTGGCAACGGGATTTTTGTCTTTGTTGTTTTGTAGCTGTTTGACACTGCGATTCCTTTTTTTTTTCTGGGCGTTTGTCTGGCTGGGGTTGCCAATGTGTATCAAAGGGATGGAGCGGCCTAGGGCGTATTCAAATACCAAGCGTATGGAAATGGTCGTTAAACGATGGGACGAGGGGGGCTGCAGCAATCGAGACAGAGATGAAGCTGGCAGGGTGTTTGGGACTCCCTTGCCGTGAAGGACGTGAAGCCCGGTCTGGGCAGGCATGCCTAGATACGGAGTAAAATGTATTTTAGTAGAAGACATTGACGAAGATTGTACAAACCAAGTTAGACGTGACGAACAAGAGTATGCGGAAGGGTGATTGATGATGCGTCGAGCATGTGAGAATCGACATTTGATGGTGTGAGCAAGGCCTCCAGGTTCCTAGGCCTAAAATGCGAAAATCTCTCTCTCCAGAGACCATGGAGAATGCAAAGCATCTGAGATGGTTCTGATGCTATGGCGTGGTCGCGTCATTTTGTGTGTTGTGTGTGTGTGTGTGAGGTGACGCCCAGTTCCGTGGTGGTGTGGTGTAAATAGATGGGTGGCAGGAGCGACACGGCGAGACTACCTAGGTACTTACCTAGTAGGTACTTACGTCAATAAAGCGTACGTTGTCCTCCGTACCTTTGTAGTTACCACGACTCACAACGGAACTCAACTTGATCCACATCATCGTCGAGAAACCGGTCGCCACTGCCACGCCGGGCCATGGTGCACATGCATCGCACGGAATAAAACCAAGTCCATCCAACTAGATGATCGTATCGCATCATGAAAAAGACGCTACTGCTGTGTTTTATCCACGGCTTCAAAGTACGTCGGCTCGTCACGAGCGCCCCGCCATGTGGCGATGCTGCAGGGCAACGGGACCACGCATAATCATCCGACCGCACTGACGCACCGTCCAGGGCGGCGAATCGACCTTTGGGGACAACTACGAGTTCACCAAGCACCTCAGAGACATTGTCGCCCAAAAACTACCCAAAGTCGACGTGCGGGTGCTAGTGTATCCCAAGTATGAGACGAGGGGGGACTTGGGAGAATGCGTGAGCAGATTCCGCAACTGGTTCGTTTTGCCAAAAGAAAACTCCCCCGGCCCGGCCCTGCTCTCCTCTTTTTTTACTCTGTTTCTGTTCTGTTCTTTATCATGTAAAAAAAAATCTCCAGTTGTGTACTCGTGGCCGGCATACACATCACGTCGCAAGTGAGACGCTAACAGTGCGGCGACATGTCGTCAAAATGTACAGGCTGGAAGACAAGGTTATAGATATGGAGGTAGAGTCAGGCACGTCGTCGCCGACGGTCGATCCTTCGGTGCGGACCATCCTCATCGGCCACTCCATGGGCGGCATAGTTGCCGCCGAGCTTCTCATCGCGCTGGCGTCGGAGAAGCCCATCTACTCGGAAGACGGGATCCAAAAGCCGGACGACGAGAAGCCCGCCTTCAACGCCTTCATGTTCCCCTACGTCCAGGGCGTGCTGGCCTTTGACACGCCGTACCTTGGGATATCGCCTGGCGTGGTCGCCCACGGCGCCGAGAGCCACTACGAAACTGCCGCGTCGACAATCTCCCAGATCGGCGGGTTGAGGACGGCGCTCTGGGGCACGGGCAAGACCAAGGCGCCGGTGCCGGCTGCCGCGCCTGCCGGACCGCCGAGCGCGTGGCAGAAATGGGGCAAGGTAGCCATGTACGCTGGCGCGGCGAGTGCCGTGGCCGCCGGCGGAGCAGCAGCGTGGATGAATCGCGACCAAATTGCCGAGGGGTGGACGTGGGCGTCGTCTCATCTCGAGTTTGTGGGTTGTCTCGCAAAGGCCGAGGAGCTGAAGAAGCGCGTGGGGTTCGTGGTGCGGCTTCACGAGGAGTTGGGCGTCGGATTCGCAACTCTGTACACGAGGTTGGGCAAGGGTGCGGCCTCCAAGAAGGTGAGTATGGTTGGGACGGTTCTAGGCAAGGAGAGGACGTTTTGTAATCTACCCAAGACGACGAACGCGGGCGATTGGATGGAGGCCGTGAACGATAATGCGAGAGACGAGACAGTGGCACACATGAGTGAGTTTCTTCTTCGTTCAAGTTGCGGGTTGGCTTTTCACATGGGGACATCTTGCTAACCGGGCATGTAGCCATGTTCGAACCGAAGGAGAACCCTGGGTATGGAAAGTTAACCCATGACGCGGCTTGTTTGATTGCCCAGTGGTCACGGAACGACTGGTACGAGAGTTCGACTAAGACGACAACGGAGCCGGTGCAAAGTGTACAAGTGGACGACAAAGGAAAGGGGACAGAAGAAAAGGACACAGGGAGAGACAAGGAGACCACAGAGCAACTCGCATAAAGCTCACATCCGTAATTATCCCAATTATAATTTGCAAGGTGCATACCTCTCTACTTTTGTTCATAGCCAAGTCTTGGACCTCTTGTCACGATACTAGAATACCTTTTTCTAATCTTCACAGACGATCTACACAGGTATCAGACCGTTCGGGCCCTCACAATTAGCCTGTGGAAACGAAAATTCGGTTCAAGTCTACTGCGCCTTGTCATCCTTAGTCTTGGGCGAACGCAGAATCTTGCTCCTCTGTTTCATCATATGCGTGAACAGAACATAAGATCCTGCAGAATGGTCAGCCGCTCTCTGCCCCCACCCCCAGTACAACCACTTTCGTTAGGGCGGGAAAAACGTACCTGGAACGTAAATGGCCAAAACGATATACAAAGCCCAGGGCGCAAGGCTACTCCTCTCCGCGGCGGGGACGGTCGCCCCAAAGACAAGCATGCACTCGCTCGTGATGCCCATGGGGTACAGCACGTAGAACATGCTATACCGCGCCCAGGTCAGCAATGCGGGCAGGGCGCCGGCGAGCGACAGCGCAAAGTAGCTGTATCGAGCGACCTCGGTGACGGACCAGGCGACCAGCATGGAGGTATAGAAGGGCGAGAGGGCGAGGAACGGCCACGTGTTGACGACGGGCCAGACGAGCAGGAGGCGCGACAAGACTTGCATGGTGGTGGTGGACACGGGGGCTCGGACGATGCCTGCGGGTTGGTTTTGGGTAAAACTGTGTGAGTTGGGGTTCTCTGCTCATTGTGTCGTTTCCGAAACGTCGTGGGACTCCATACCTAGCAGGGAGTGCAGAATCTCCAAGACGGCCACGGTCTGCGTCCATTTCGTCCACTCCCCCACGGCGGCGTAGACGGCTGCCGGGCCGCGCAGGTACAGCGCCGCGATGGTGCGGCCGAGCACTACGCTCCACGCAACTGCGGACGCGGAGTTGTAGAAGATGAGGTAGGCGTTTTTAAGGGGCGATGCCGGCTTGGAGCCAGGCTCGGGCTTGGGCTTGTCGGCCATGGCGGCAGCGTGGTGGTTTGCCGGTGATGGGGAGTTTTTTTTTTTGGAGTTAAGAATTTCGGTGCGGATTGTTGGGGACGAGGCCATCGCGTCGCGGGCCGAGGCGATGGGGCGATTCCAGGGTGGCTCCTTCCTCCCTCACGGCGACACGGAAGTGGAGAGACATTTGGATTGACCCGCCTCAACTTGTTCAACTCGCCGTCGTCGGGATGACAACGGTTCTCCGTCTTACTATCCATGGAAGCGTCGCTCGCCCCTCTTCATGTTTTGTTATTTTCCGAGGGCTGTAAATGCGATAGGCGAAGCACTCTGGAGCAATCATGGCAGAAGTCGTCTTCATAAATCTTCACATTGGTTTCCATTTTCCACCAAATCAACACGCAGAGCCCACCATCAGTACGTGGCCGCCAGTCTCTGCACCAAATAATCGCCAGTCTTGACACCCTTATATTTCTTGTCCTTGTCCGAGGCATATGTCCCTGGCAAGGTCTCAATATAGCTTTCGGAATTCGGGTTACAAAAGTACCTATGATGAAGGAAAGTTAGTTTTCTGTGCTGAGGATTACCAGACCGCCCGGTCGCGTCATCTGCAAGCGCTTTGGCTCCCGCGGTCAATACGCACGCGATACTATATCGAGGAGGGTAGGAGTCATCCGCCTTGTGTGGTGGCTCGACAACTCGATGGACAGTGCTCTTTATAGTGTCATTGCTCCAGCGAGCTAGTAGGTCGCCTGCGTTGACGACAATGGTTCCTGGGATGGGAGTGGCATCGACAAAGTGGCCGGTCGGGCTTTTGACCTGCAGGCCGCCGCGGCTATCCTGGAAGAGCAGGGTGATTGAGCCATAGTCCTATGTTTCGGTCAGTAACCCCCTTCAGAGGAAGAGATGCCATGCTGAACGACGCAAAGGTTACGAGGGGAAGATGCATGGGCCCTCGAGATGCATACACTATGCTCGCCGGCCCTCACCTGGCCGGGATTGATTTTGAAGACTTGGGCCTTTACAGACGGATAATGCAACAACCGCAGGTTATTGTCGCCCGCGTCCACAAACTTATCAAAGAAGTCTTCTTGAATCTCCATTCCGAGGGCGATGGCTCTCATGACTTGCACATGCAATGCTTGACAAAGACGGAAGAATTCGTTCATGTCTGCCCTGAAACCCCTCAGCTTGCCGTCCTCGGGTGGCCAGTGGTTGGGATAGTTTAGGTCAGTGTCACGCCCTATTTCCAAACTCTCCTTCAAATCTGGTGCGGCGCTCCGGACCCTGTCAACGTCAGCCATGTCTTCCAGCTGGGAGACCTTTTCGCGGCCCGGCGCCGAGTAGCCGCGGTTGGCCTCGGGCGTGGTCCAGCACAACTCCATCTTGGCGTCAGTGTCGAGGGCGAAGAAATCGGCGGAGCGGGCAAAAGTACGACTGAGGACCTGGGCCTGAATTGGGTGGTTCTTGAGGTATATGAAGCCTGCGGTTTGGAAGCCATGGAGGACGGCTTTGGCGGTAGCTTGGCGCTCCTCGGGTGCGCCTTTGAGAAATTTGGAAAAGTCTATGAGCTGCGGCAGCAGAAGTCAGCATGCAGGAAGTCGTTGTGGGCAATACAGCAACGTCAGTATAGCCAGCAGCAAGCAGCGGTAGAGCAAACCAGCTACCGGCGTGGTGGTTGCTGGTGATGACTACAAGTACAAGCAGGAGTACGGAGTAACGAGCAAGCGCATTGTGCTTCCCACTCACAGGAATGACCAGGCCATCCTTGGCTACCGCAGCATCAGTCGCCATGGTGAAGGCGCTCTTGTTTTGAAGAATTTTTGCTACAGGGAATCTCTTTTTTAATGATTTCTTGTAACAAGGGAGGATCACAGCGATGATTCGGGCAAGCTGAGAGACTCGAGCAGTCTACGCATTAAGTACCTAGGTAAGCAGGCGGCCAACTGGGCGGTTTTCCGAGATGCTCTCCATTATTACGGCCCATGGTTGGCGCCGTGGGCGTCAACCTGGTTCCCCGCAGATCTGCTGATGGGGGCCAGAGTACTAAGTTACGTATTATCACTAGAGGGGCTCGAGTACCCATGTACATGCAGCAAGTACATGCAGTACATGCAGTTACCAACCTACCATTGCCGTGCGGGGCATCCCTCCACCGGCCGATACCAGTCGTTATCGCAGAGACGGAATTGGGAGGGGAAGCGAACCATCCCGTCTTCCCCGCGAGCCGCCAAGACACTGCTCCTCGTGTCATGGACGGGAAGAAGTAAGGAGGAAAGGGAGGGAGGGAAGAGATGCATGGGTACTGTGAACGAATATCAACAAGTCCACGCGCTGCTTTGATTCGCGGACGAGGCCAGGATTCCACCGGTAAAGATTGCGTGCGTCTGCCTGCTCGGCAAGCCATCAGGGCCCAGGCACTTGCTTTCTTGCTTGCTCGGTGCTGCTACAACAACCATCACCATGTGGGCGTTTTCTCGCCTTTTCATGCCCCTCATTGTTGCGCAAACAGCCTCGTCCACCCCCACGCAGGCGGCGGCAACGCCTCAACTTCAAAGCTCCTGCCTCTCACTCTCAGCTCACCTGGCGCAAGCACGGCCCCGGCCCGTCATGGCCATGTCTAATTTGACCGTCGTCGACGTCCACACCCACATGTATCCCCCCCAGTACATCAAGATGCTCGAGTCTCGGACCACCATCCCCCTGGTTCGCAAGTTCCCCCAAGCACCCGAGCCTCGCCTCATCCTGCTGGAAGCCGAGCTGGGGGACTTGCAAAACGCCGTGGACGACGCCTCGGCAAAGCCTCCGGGACGACCCCTCACGTCTCACTTCGCATCTCTCGACCAAAAGATTCACTTCATGGACACTCACCACATCGATATATCTGTCATTTCTCTGGCTAACCCGTGGCTGGACTTTGTCGACGCCTCCCAAGCCGGCGACATTGCCGAGTCCGTAAACAATGAATTCTCACACATGTGCGGCAAGCACCACGGCCGCCTCTTCTTCTTCGGCACCTTGCCTCTCACAGCGCCGTTCCAAACGCTTCTGGCATCCATATCTCGGCTCAAGGACCTGAAATACTGCCGTGGGGTCATCCTTGGCACCTCGGGGCTCGGTAAAAGACTGGATGACCCGCGTCTGATGCCGGTTTTCGAAGCCCTTGCTGCCGCAAACCTGACAGTCTTCCTCCATCCTCACTACGGCATGCCCAACGATGTGTGGGGCCCTCGTGCTGGCCAGTACGGCCATGTCCTTCCGCTGGCCTTGGGCTTCCCCATGGAGACGACTATTGCCGTGGCACGAATGTATTTGGCCGGCGTCTTTGACCAGGTCCGCAACCTGAGGATGCTGCTGGCCCACAGTGGCGGCACTCTGCCCTTCCTCGCCGGGCGAATCGAGAGCTGTATTTTGCACGACGGACAGCTTGTCCGAGAAGGGAAGGTTGGCAAAGGTCGTCGCACGATCTGGCATGTGCTCAGGGAACAGATCTATCTGGATGCCGTCATATATTCCGAGGTCGGATTGACGGCCGCAATCGACGCAAGCGGTTCCGACAGACTCATGTTTGGGACCGACCATCCCTTCTTCCCGCCCATCACGAGTGACGAGCAAGGACAGTGGGAAAGCGTCAGTCTGAACGCGGAGGCTGTTACCAAGGCCGTTGGCCAAGGATCTGCCGAGGCCAAGGCAATCATGGGCGCAAACGCCATTGGTGTTTTAAGGCTAGAAGAGCAAGCATGAGATGGTTCTGCGTCGTCTTGAATAAAGGATTCTGTAGCAACGTAAATGGTCTTTTTTGTTTTCCTCCGCTTTCCCGGCGCCAACGATTGTCGAAATTTCTTTTAGGTGGCTGCTGTTTCATTCTGATACCTGACCTCGGCTTCGTGAATCTTGCTTCGGACCTCCTGAACGACCCTCTCTGCCTCTTGCAAAATTTCCGCTGGCGTATCGTCCTTCTGCAAGTTCCTTACTGCCTGAACGGCGCGCAGTTTGTCGCAGACCAGTTCCCAGTACCGTTTGTTCAGACTCAAATCCGCAACGTAGTCTCCCGGAACGTTTATGACCCCATTCGCAGGACCAGAGGGTTTGCCGAGGGACCCGAGAGTGGCCTTCATGCTCTCCTTGGCTTGTCTCCTTCTCGCCTTCTCGTCCCTCTTCTCCTTCAGCCGCCTCCTAGCCTCAGCCAGGTCCTCGGCCTCCTGTGCAGCCTCGGCCTGCCGCCTGGTCTCCTCGTCACGCATCCGTTGTTGCTCGGCCAGCCTCTCCCTCTCCTTCTGCAGCATCTCCCTGTCAGCCTGCTGCACCTCCTCCCTCGCCCGCCTGGCGGCATTCTCGCGCGCCTCAAGATCGTCAGCAAACTTCTTGCGCTCCTTGTCCATCGCCTCGCGCTCCTGCCTCCGCAAGAGCTTGGCCTTGCTCGCCCCATCGTACGCGGCGCGCGCGTTTGCGTCGGACAAGACATCTCTCGCCTTCTCAAACAGCTCCCACTTCTCTGCGTCAAAGTTCTCGCGGGCCTTGTCGGGGTGGTACTTTAGGGACCGTTTCCTCCAGGCGCGGTGGATGTCCTCCTTGGGGGTGAGCGCATCGACACCGAGAACGTGGTAGAGATCGATGTCTCTGTCGGCATATTCGCCTGCGAGGCGCACGAGGTCTTGGTTGTCTCCGCCCATTCTGTCTGGCTGGTTGGCTGCGGCGCGCTGCTTGTGAGGTACCGAGGTGCCGTGAGCAAAAAATATCTCGTCTCTCGTCTCTCGTCTCCCCTCACTCGTCACACGCGAGAGCAAAGCTTGGGCGACGGATAGGCTTTTGAAGCTGATGGGGGAGCAAGAAGAGGCTGGGTTGTCGTTAGGAGGAAGACGTGACATGCATCTCTCCATGCGACCCGCTTTTGTGCACATGCCAACCCTGGACCCTGGGCCTCCTTCTCGTCCCCGGGTAGGGGTCCTAGAAGCGTCTAGTAATTGGTGACATTTATTTTGTCGCAGCGTCTACGACGGCAATTAATTTTCTGACACTAAGGTATTGCGGAGTAGTGCGTGTCTACATTTAATCCATATATATATGTATATATATATATATTGCAATTTTTTACTTTTTTTTCCTTTCCCCAATTGCAACGCATGTCCGATGCTTAGTAAGTATGTGACGCCCCCTGCCTCAACAAAGCCCTCCTCGGTCCGTCATGCCTGCTTCTTCTTTTCTTGCTCCCGTTCGCCCGTCCCTCGGCGTAATCGTACACGTTTGGGGTTCCGCCCGAAAACTCCAGTAAATATCGCTCATACGGCCCCAGCGGCTCCTCGGGCATGATTCTCTGGTTTGGGGCGTTCTTCTCGCTGCCGACATACTTCCAGATCCAGCCTTCGCGAGAGGGCCGGTCCCGGTATCGGTCATACGGCCTGTACTCGTGAATCGAGGGCTCTTGGTCATATTCAAAGACGGCCCGCTTCAGCTTCCAGTCACAAAGGGCCTGGCAAGCCCACACGGACTCGTCGTTGAGACCCAGACCCTCGCATGCCAGCCGTACCCGCACAGAGCTGTGGACTTTCTCGTTCGTGTTCTGCAAGTACGTTTCTCGCGATGTCGACGTTTTCGGATCGACTTGCTTGTACATGCCTGGCGTTCTAATCGTGTCTCCGGAGAGCGCATACAAAAGACCGCCCACTCTTTGGATCGACCCCAACGCCCATGGCCTGAGGGGCTTGTTGGCGTTGAATATCGGATCGACCGCCCACTGCCTGAGTTTTCTGCGGTCCCTTTTCTGCTTGTGCGCCTCGGGCGACTCGTAGAAGTCGAACGTCTGCTCCACCACGCGTTTCAACGATGGCGTGTCAAACTCTACGCCGACGCTCGTCATTTGATCCATCATCCCTGCCGAGGTCAGCGCCGATAGACACGGCGAGGGTGGAAAGTCGCTTCAAAACCTACAGGCTAATGTGGCATTGGCAATGCCCTGATCGTCCCATCCACCGCCGCAGTTTCCATGGTTCCCGGGAAACCATACTTGCCGCAAGTCTACTGAGCCCAGCCCCTCACGTCTGGGGCGTTCCCAAACTGCAGGGCTGAAGGGGGTGCGGGTCTCGTCAAGCGCCAATGCTTGGAAAGCATGTTCGATTCGGTCTGATAGAGCGGTATCATGCCATTTATATGTTCACCGAAGGTTAGCCTTGTTGGACAGGTCAGTCGAGTCAGGGGGGGGGGAGGGGGGCGAGGAAGACTTATTCGTCATTGTTTGGACGGACACCGAGCTTTTCCAGCACGTGGATCTTCGGAATGCCAAGACTGCCGACGGTATCCCACACACATACGCCTTTGACTTTGATGAGGTTGTTGTCCTTTTGATAGACGCGAGTGTAGCCCATCTTCTCAAGCCGTGCTCGATATTCGACATCGGCGTTGGCACCCTTGGGCTTGTCTCGGAACGGCACAGTGGGAAACGGGTCGTCATAGTCGTCGTTCTCCCAATTTTGCATATCCCTGAAAATGGGGTAGAAGTGCTCAACGCCTTCTCTGGTCAACAGGCCCAGATTTGCAATCATTCCAGAAACGGACCTCGCAGTGAAGGCACCTCTCGAGAAGCCGACGAGGAAAATCTCATCGCCGTCCATGTAGTTGGCGCACAGATAGGCGTACACTTCGCGGACACGCTGTGGACAGGTTAGCCTGCGGCGTCTTGATGTCTGGAAGGCCACATGTCGCCTACCTCTGCAAGGCCGGTTCCAAACGCTCCACCGGTGATGCTATCGAGGGTGTTGCTGCCACTGCCGACTCCCGACTCGTAGGAAATGATTTGCAGGGTGCCATCTGCGCAGCGGCGCTTGAAACAGCGCGATATGCGAGTGACATTGGAGGGCACCTGCAAAGTACCTTTTCTAGAAAAGGGGCTAGATTTTGAGAAGCCGTAGTCGCTGTTCATCCAGGTACCGTCGCAGCAGACGATGAGGCGCTTCTTTTGGCGCTTCGTCGCGGCATCTTCGGAAGCCATGTTGATCGTCCTGGGCCCGTCCCAAGCTTGGCGGACACCGTCGCTGGCGACTGCAGGAAGACGACGTGCTTGCTATATGTGTATATGTGTATATGTGCGATTGGTCTGCAAATTGACGGGAAGGTGATGCGAACGGTCTTGTGTCTGTGCTGCCCCGGTTCGCCTCGGCGGCAACAAGGTCTGAGATATATAGGACAGAGCCCAGCCTTGCGACGGAAGTCAATAGACGCGCGCGGGTGAGGAGCGCACGAGGCGTGGGTGGGATGGATGGGTGAGACGAGATGAGTGAGATATGTATGGTCACTCACCCGGTCTACTGCCCGGCCTCGTCCGTAAGCCTCACAATCAGCCCGTCAGATGCATCGGCAAAGCACGGCCAATGACCAAGGCTGAGGCTGTGTCGCATTGGCATTGGCATTGGCACCGGCACTGATGGTGTCGGACGTGTTGCCGCGAGGTCTGGCGGCGCGACTTGGCACCCGGTACGCACGCGGTACGGGAGTGGGCGTATTGCGTGCGGACGACGTACGGCCGCGGGCTGGCTATTCCGTGCCCCATACATGGTCCGTCGGTACTGGGTAAGTAGTCACCGGAACCCCTTGCAAAGGGCAGCCGCCGACGACGCTCTACGGGCTGACCGAGACTCTCTTTGCCCCGTCCGCACTACTCCGTACTGGGTACTCGGTACTCGGTACGTAAGTGCCAGACTTTTTCCCGCTGCTGCTCAGCAGCCTGCCCACGGAGGTTTCAGGGACCGGCCCGCCTGTCAGTTATTGGTGGTGCGCCACTTGCGTTTGCCGCCAAAAACAAACGTCCAGCCTTCCAGGACGTCACACTGCTTACGTACTCAAGTAGTCATGTTGTGCTGTTACTATTCCGCGCCCCTGCTCCGTACTTTGCTACGTCAAGAGGCACTCGAGACAGCCGTTGTCTCCAGCGAGTGAGCGAGATGGTGCATGTGCTCGCTCCATTCGAGGTGAACAAGGTCCTCATCTATGGATGCGTTCCGTCCTGTCCAGCCCCTGCGCGCTCAGGGCCTCACGCAGCCACGCCGGCACAAACGCCCTGACCTTGACGTCGCTTTTGTTGTCCTCGCCGCCCTCGCCCCATTCCAGCACAAACTCGTCCCCCCCGGGCCCGTACGTAGCCGCGGCCTGCTCGCCGGGCAGCACGAGGTCCGTCATAATCTCGAGCCGGCACAGCGCCAGCCCAATGTTGCCCACGCCCTTCAGCCACCGGCCCGCGCTGCGGCCCCTCTTCCCGAGCCGGCCGACGCTCGTCCCGGCGGGGATCATGTCGGCCGTCAGGCTCTCCGGCGAGCTGCACTCCGCGTCGTACAGGAGCGCCCGCGGCGCGGCCTTGTCCTTGCCGTAAATCACGCACGGCAGGATGCGCTTCCGCACCACGCCGCGGTGCCTCGTGCGGATCGTGAGCTCCTGCCCGACGTAGCAGCCCTTGCGGAAGTCGATGGCCCCCATGACGTCCATGTTGGCCTCCAGGGGGAGCGCCTGCTCGCGCAGCATCTCGTCCTGGCCCTCGGCCACGCCGCGCAGGTACCGCCGGATGGTGTACGCGGCCTCGGTCGACGCGTCCACGTCGAGCTCGGGCGCCCTGTGGTTCAGCTGGACGATGCGGCAGCCCAGACCGGGGGCCCGGGGGTCCTCCAGCACCAGCCTCGACTCGCCGGCCGCCACGTCCGGCGCCAGCGGCGACGCTTCGTCCCAGGCCTGCCAGACGGAGGCCTCGTCCGGCGGCACGTCGCGCACCGTCACCCTTGCGCGTAGCTTGTACCGCCTGATGAGTCTGGCCAGCCTCGCCACCTCGCCTGCGTCCGCCTCCAGCAGGTACCCTTCCTCCGTGGCCCAGGGGGCCGGCCCGCCCTGCCGGAGGGGGTACACGAAGATGTCGTGGACGACGCGGCCCGTGGCGTTGAGGAGCCCCGAGTAGAATGCATCCTTGCGCGGCAGACCGTCCGCGCCGGTCACGTTGGCGGTGATGATGCCCTGCAGGAACTTGGATGCCTCGGGCCCCGACACGGAGAGGAGCTGTCGAGACGGGAGGGCGGCGAGACCGGACGGCGGCGGTCTCGGGGGCGCGGCCGAGCTTGCGAACCGGCGTTGTTGGTGTCTCAGGCAGCTTCGGCACAGCAGGTGCGCGGGCAGCGCGCGTCGTGCAGCGCGCATCGTGGATTGGTTGCGCTCGTGGGCCGGCGGACGTTGTCTCTTGCGGTTTCTGGGAAGTTTTGTCGCCTCGGGAGCTTGAGGATTTGCGAGGACGTCCAAACTGGTGGGTCGGCGTCGACTGGTCGCACGTGTTCGGGTGCTGTTTTGGGGGGGGGGGCAGTTGAGGTCGTTGTCTCGGAGGGACGAGATGGATGATGGCATTGTCAAGATGACGCATGTACGTGAGGGGGGGAGGAGGTTGATGGATGTAGCTGGATGGTTCGAGCAGGACTTTATGCATGGAAATTTTTTTTGAGACAATGACAATAGGTCTGAGATGAAGCCATCACGCAGACCGACCTGGTTGAGAACTTTAGGACGGACTCTGGGACTCGGGAGTACCAGAGACATGCACTGCTCGGTAATTCAGCGCGCGGCTTCATCAACGTGGAGACAAAATAATACTTTGGCACCATCAGCTGGAACGTTGCGGTTGATGTGCTCATGCATCGCATATTAACCACCTGGGCAGGCATACAAGTACCTCCTAGGTAGGTAAGTTACTTTACTCAAGTGCTGAGCAACTTCACAGTCCCTTCACAGGCTTCTTTCTGGTTACAGCCTAGCCTGTATCCATTCCTGCCTGGGATCCAAGTCATCAAGACACCAGGCCATTTGCCTCCTCCGCCCAAAATCAAGTCCACACAGACCAACACCGTTCACCCTCCAGCGTCTCCGGGCATCGTGCACCGACGGCCCCTGACGCACCACCACATCAGTCAATCGCCGCGCGCCCTTGCAGAATCGCAAAGTCGCCCAAACCAACGGCTCCCGCCCCGATCCTGGCTCCCGGCAGTGCCCTCACGAATCGGGATGCACTCGGGCGCGGTTTGGTCCCGCTAATCGGCGTCGCTACGTAGATGCTCGGGCTCGGGCACACATGTGCCCGTCCATCTCCGATCCCCAACTCCGGACCTCCGGAACAGGTCGGGCGGCGGGGCCAAGCGGATCCCATGTCGATAATTCAAATGGCCCCCGTGTTGGGAGTTGGAGATGCTACGTACGATTCTATTCTCCCGCCGGCGAGATCGGAACCCCAGCTCTCCCTTGCACATTGGTGACGCTGCGCAGAGGAGAAAGGCGCGTGACAACCACGCCTTTCGGTATTCCTTTCTCAAACCCAGAGACCCGGGGGGCGCTGGACCATTGCCCCGCCGCTGGATCAATCACCCGCCGCTCCTTGGTCATGGTACGCAGGTTATCGGACGGGTTCAAACGGGTACTCGAGCGGTTGAAGCTGTAAACGGCCACAGGTGCACATGGTTACAATGGATCTGGGGCGAACAAACATGTAGAGCGTTTCAAACCACGCCCTGCCTGCCGGGTCTCACGCAAGGGCACACCAGACGACGGCCATTGCCAAGGGCCAAGGCGACAGGACACAGACTACGTATCACGCATCATGTGTCGTGCCTGGTTGCCTCGCCGGCCGCCTTGGTATGGCGCCTTGGCCGGGCTGTGATTCTCAGCCCGGAAAGGCGCCGGCAAGCGGTGCTCGGCAATCTCCATCAGTCAGTCTCTCTCCGATGCGGATACCCGCCGCCATCCCATGCCCCAAGTGCACTACTCGAGGTGTGTTCAATGTCGTCTGGTGACGGCTCTTTATCAGATACCGCCCTGCTTATCAGCATGCTCGGGGTGATCGGCGACACATCCATCGTGACGATCAATAGAGTAGATAGGCCTGGCTCCGTCTCGTTGGGCAACACCCCGGCACCCCGTCAGCGACTAAGCGAGCGGCCAACGGGGAATCTCATCAGAGGCATTATCAGACCCTAGTCACATCACTCATCTCATCAGAGGCATTAGCAGACCCTGGTCACATCACGCATCACGCCGATCCTCCTGATGCAAATGCGCAGGGGAGCGAGGGAGGAGAAAAAAAGAAAAAAAAAAGAAAAAACACATCAAATGTCACGGGTCTCCAGATGAAACCTACACATGCAGCAATTACTCCGTATCGCGCCGCATAGGTGCGTGCATTCTCCGTCCCTGGACCTAGTCCTCCGGATCCAGGCTGGTCCAGCAATCAACTTGGCAGGAGAGCGGAGCCGTCGTCGCATGACAACCTAATACGGAGTAAAGTGAAGCGAAAGAATTAAGTCCTCGCTGGACCGCCAGCCCACGCAACTAGCAAGCATCCATGCCATGCCCACCGTCCCTTGCACGCCCTGCCCGACGCAAACTGATGCCTCGAGAATCAACTACCAGCGGTACCGACTACCTGCGTCGTCGTTTATCCGGCCCGAAAAGCCGCCCAGCAGGTAAACGACTCACAGCCATGGGTTTCCCTGATCGTCGGGCCTCGTTCCGCGTCTTCTGCAAGGGCGTGCAAGATGACACGCTCGGCGGTCCCGAACCAAGTTTGTGTCAACGAGCGCCAGTGCCACCACAGGAGTCCAGGACGACGACGACGACGACGACGACAACAACAACAACAACGACAACAACCACCACCACCACCACCACCACCACCACCACAACCGTACTCGGTCCTCGCACGCGTTTCCCCCGACTATTTCGTCAGCACCCTCGACGGCATCACACGGCTGGTTTTTCGAATTTCACCATCCTGCTCAAGACAGATAGACAGAGGGGCCAAAAGGAAAATAGAGTGAATGTCGGCCCGCCACTCGTCATGAAGCGTGAAATGAAACCTTGCTGACGTGACCGTCCGATCACGTAACCCTATTTGGCTGTGCGTCATGGTCCCCTGCCGCCATTGGCAGAAGGGAGGAGGGGGTGTGGTGGGCCGGCATGGGTCCGAAATGCCGAGCAGGCGGCGGGCGGGCCCTGGCTTATGCCATGTACGCGCTACTACTCGTCCCTCGTCCCTGTCCTCTTATTAATCGTGCGGGATGCCTAATAACTACTCCGTACTCCGTACCTAGGTGGTAGTTTGGACGAGGCGGTCGGCGGGCCGGCCATGATTCATGCCCGGCACCGACGCCGACACCGCCCCACGGCCATGGCATTGGCATCCACCAGCAATGGGAGTCAAAAGTGGTGCCTGGCGCCGGGACAAGAGTCGCGACAACGACGGCGTGACAAGAGGAGATTCACATGCTGGGAAGGAAAAAGAAGGCGGCGAAGCCGCGTGTCACCATGTGGGGATGCTGCCGTGCTACGTGCTTGGAAGTAGAGGGAAAAAAAACCTTCTTCAGATTATCCTAGCCCACAGGCCGTTGGAACTATGTAGCGTTGGAACTATGTAGTTTGTCTTTTTACTCGCCAGATACATGCGCCGTGGTAACTCTGCCAACATATGTCCCCCTCCACCGAGAAAAAAAAAAGAAAAGTAAAAAGGTCCTGTTTGCCCGTGAGTGGTGATGTACCGAAGAAAGTGACGCCTCTCTTTTGGTGAAGCCCTTGAATGCCCAATGTGGTATCATGTCTATGATGGAACGCCGGTGCCATGCAATCGCTGGAATGGGAAGAAAAAGTCGCTAGAGCAGTAGAGTGGGAAGAAGAAGCCATGTCGAGTATTTGTTTGTTGGAGCGGTCGTCGGGCAGTCTCAGTATACCGAGATGGCGGTCACCAGACCTGCTGACGGCTGTTGGGGGACGTAGTACTCGTCGTTGAAGATTGCTTCCTCTCCCTCCTTGGCGGCTTCCTTTTCGTTGTAGGGCAGCGAGGCGTCGGCTGGCGAGGGTGGCATGGACTCGTCGTCTGAGGATTCAGAGTCGTGGTCCACGAGCTCGGGTGGCGAGTTGGAGTGAGAAGGGGTTCGGACAAGTTCGAGATGTGCGTAGTCCTCCTCGAGGTCGTCGTCCTCGTCGACAAGCTGGGCCTGCTGGGCGGCGACGGGGACTCGGACGGAGACGGCATTGGCCATCTCAACGTCGTCCTCGTCAAAGTCGGAGTCGGAGTCGGAGTCGGAGTCGGAAGAGTCGGATTCCTCGACGACGCGATCGGCCCACTGCACACGACGCTCGCCGGCCTTGGTATTGTTGCTGCTGGCGCCGCGGACGGACTGGTTAAACCACCGCTCCTGCTCACGCTCGGCATCGGCCAGTTCAAGCATCAGGGAGTCGAGCAGGTTGGCGTGACCGACGAGGAGACGGAGGTCGTGGTCGGGCTGGGCAGCCTCGCGGGAGAGCTTGGCCCGGGCCTTGTGGGCGAGGTAGTAGGTCTGCGTGATGGACATGGTCTTTCTGGAAGCAGATGGCACGCGGGAGTAGTAGGTTGGGGCGAGATTGGGGAGCTGAGGCTGAGATACTGCTGCAGTAGGCATTTTTGATGGATGGAGGGAAGCGAGTTCCTTTATGCTTGGGTGTCGCTGCGGTGAATTGATTTTATTTTATTGTCTTTGGCCTGGCTGGGGTGGACAAATGGGTGACTCAAGAGTCAAGAGTCAAGAGTCAAGCAGGACCCGATTGCGGAAAGCCGGTGTAGCGTTGTAGCGGACAGGGGTGTCGAAACAGGTCAAGTGTGTGCGGTTGCTTCAGGGCGGTGGTGATGAGAGAAGCCGGACGAATGATGTGACGGCCAGCGGCAGGTACTGCGTGCGATCGGGCTGTATTGGGTAGGGGCCGTTCAGTTTGCTTGGTGATGGGTTGGATTGACGTTTCCAAGGGCTGCCGGGAGGCAACGGGAGGGGAGGGGCGGCGAAGCGTGATACTTATCAATGTTGACGAGGCCGAGGCCGACGACGACGACGAGGCCGACGCGCACACAAAGACCAAAGACAGCAACGCTGCTAAGCGGACTTTGCGGACGCGGCCCCGGGCAGCGACTTGACACCGGCGCAGGGATGCGGGCGTTGGATCTTAGCAATCAGGGTGGGGCGTGACACATTCCTGGTGCAACATCGACTGGGTGCGACTGCCAGCTCCCAGAAAGCGTAACGCCATCAGGGCGGTCGATTCCTACGCAACCGCTGACTAAATCCGACCCGTTGACCTGGCTGACAAAGCTGGGATGTGATGGCCATAAGTGTTAGCCGGGCGGGCTTAAGGACCGGTTGGCGTCTCGTGTCCGAGGGTAGCAGTCCCCGCCGAAACACACGCAAGGCGCCATCCATCAGAGGTGCTTTTACGCGAGGAGGCCCAGGTCCAAACAGCGAAGCATTGGGGTGGGGTTTCGCTCTCGCTCCCGTCGTTCACGATGAGTCTGTCTGTGACAGCAATAACGACAGCGACAGCGACGGCGACAGCGGCGGTGAGTCAACCAGTCGTGAGTCCAGCTCCCAGCCAGTGGTGGGAGAATCGGCGTTTGTCTCGCGTTGTTCCTTATCGACGGCGGCCTAACTCCGCCTATGCGCGGATGCATTTCAAATTCGTCCCGACGCACTTGTCCGTGGCTCGCAAAGGCAAGTGTCGAGGCCTTCCATCGCCATTCCATTGTTCGCAACACTAGGACTCGGTGTTGTGCTGCACGGGCAACGTGTGCATGTTTTGCTTCTGGGTGAAGCCAAGTCCAATGCTAGCCGCATCATGCATTCCTCGCATTCGCTGACACCCACAATTGCCGGCGGCGGAGCGCGGAGAGGGACATGTAGTCCGTGCTCCGTACATTCACACACTGTACGGGGTAGCATGACCGACGCTGGACAGACAATGCGACGGACCCGAAGGCGACCAAAGCCACACTTGGCGGCAGCACTGGCAACTGCGCTGCGTAGGGCTGAGTACTGGTTTGATGATGACTCCTTCGGCAGGCAGCTGCGACTGACTAGTACGTACCGACCAGTGCGACGGAGACTGCTGCGGGGCGTCATTTCGCCCAGTCCGAGGCCAGGGACTGAATGATTCAGATGACTCATACGCCATGACATTACGATGGTTACGTACTCCGAGTGATCAAGGCATACCTGGCATACATCACCTGCCCAAAGCCAAGCTTGAACCTCGAGTCGGTGCCGGGCCCAGCCTCAGCGCCTACGTAAGCCGATGGCATCTGTTGAACAATCGATCAAACCCTTTCACGCAAGCCTGGACTGGGCACAATTGTGCGCGCAACAAACACGTTTTACCTTCTTTTTTCGTCTTCATCTCCACCTCAGATCATGTGCCTTGTTCAACCGAGATCCTCAATGGCCTGCCTTCCAGGGGCCTTCCAGGGTCAGGCAAGGGAGCTCAAGTCTGGTCTAGTCACCGTCGTCGGCAACAAAGCAACCTCGTACCATGTCATGTACGGGAGATCCGAGTATTTACTCCGTACCACACCCTTTATTCCGCCTGCTTTCCGGTCCCAAAAGTTTTCGTCCCAAACGTCGAGATGGAATCAGCCATTCTTCTGACTCATCGGCTCCCCGCCTACTACTCAACCACCGGTCCCACCCACACAATAGGCTGATGTCGCCAGCTCGGCCTCTTCCCAGACGCCGTGCCGACGAAGCCACGCGGGTGAGTACGCGTCGCGCCCCGTCAAGCGGCCCACGGACCATACCGGGGGGGGGGGAGGGAAGAACAGAAAAGGAAGAGAAGTTCGCACCAGAGTCCTCCATCCCGGCATATTGGCCACATGACCGTGATGTGATGCGAGGAGATTTCCCGGACATAGCCGTTGTTCCCGACCACGAGCTGGCTGCCGACGCCATCGCCCTCGTCCCGACCGCGCCAAGCGGCACCTTTTTTTTTTGCATCTTACCCTGCTGTCAGAAAGACGATGAAATGAAATAAAAGCCAAGCTAAAAAAAAAAACCCGGAACCAGCATCGTCGGCTTGCTCCGGATCCCAAGGCAGCACAAGCACAGGACGGAGTAAGTAGTTATAACAACCCCAAGACTGCCGCGAGCCAAAGTGTCTTCGGTCCCTCCTTCTAGAAGCCGTCTTGGAAGGCTGTCTGGTGGCGGTCGTGGGTGCCCCACTTTCCTGATTCAACAATTTGAGGCCATTGACGGCCGGGCCGTTTTCTCAGCCTTGTGACCTGTCAATTCACCCTGCAACTCGACGCCGCTCGACTCGACTCGACTCGACTCGACTTGCTCTGCTTTTTCTCTGTCGTTATCCGACGGATCCGTCGCGCGCCTGCTTGCCTGCTTCCTTGCTTTCCGGAGCCATAAGCCTCAGTGAGGGGTCGGGGCTTGACCGAGAGCGAGTTCATGTGTACTTGGTTGGGTAGCAGGTAGGGTCTTCAAGTCTTGTCACGGCGGCCTGCTTTTGACGACGGCTGCGTCTGCCCACTTGGCGCTTCGCGTTGGAGCACTTGCCGCCGACGACGGGCAGACGAGTGGCGGCACCGAGGCGCAATCGACCTGGCCGCCTGTGCAACTCAATGTCCCGTGACGGCTTGCCGATGAGACCAACGCCGGCGGAGGCCGACGTGGTCCCCTTGGCTCCCACGTCTTTGGCGGCCACCACGGTTCGTGGTTCATGGTTCATGTTCCGACGCCGGGTTCCGAAACGGTGCTCGCTCTATTTTTGCACCCGAGATGCAAGGACCGGCAGGGAAGGGAGAGCGCCGTTTCACCGTCTCATACTAGAAGCGGCCGATGGGTGCACGGTTGGAATGGTGCAGCTGGTGCATTCTGACGCTACCAATTGCCCGGCCTCCTCTCCTGGTCGAACAGCAAGATGATTCAACAGAGGGACCTATACTGTATCCTCTCTTACCTGTAAGAGAATTAAATTAGAATCCGTAAAACGTACAGCGGACCAACATGTAGGCCTCGTCAATGAAACCGCGTCCGTGCTACATCTTCCACCATGGCTGAAACCGCCTCTCACGGTATTACCATGTTAAAAAAAAGCCAACACAGGGCAAGGGTACACGTTCTTCGCTGTTCTGTTTCAAGGCAATCTACTCAGCTCGGAGCTTCATCTTCGCTCTCTTTCGCTTGCCGCCAACCTCTCTGCCCTCTTCGACCTCCAGCAGGGCCTCTCTCTTCTTCTCACTCACGACCTTTAGCGCATCACGAATAACTCTGGTTTCCAAGTTCACACCCTCTTCCCCCCAAGCATCCATCTGTCTGCCTACTCGCTTCTCAATGGCCAATACAAGCTCGACATCTCGTTGTCCGACAAACGTCGCGGACTCGCCCTTGCGTCCAGCACGAGCAGTACGACCGACTCTGTGGATGTAGTCGCCCGGGTCCCTGGGGATATCGTAGTTGACAACGAGGCTCACTTCAGGGATATCCAGGCCTCGTGCAGCAACATCTGTCGCTACCAGAATGCGGGCTGCAGACGCACGGAACCGGGCGAGGTTGTCAATTCGTTGCCGTTGGGCAAGTTTGGAGTGCAACGACGTGACGCGATGGTCGAGAAGTCGAAGAAGATGGTGCAGGTATTCTGCAGTAGACGTTCTGTTGCAGAAAATGATGATGGTCTTGTTCTTATTTCCTTCGGTGAGGAGGAAAACATGCAGATAATGCTCCTTGTGAGTGATGGGGATCTGAATATGGGTCTGATGCAGGGTTGTCGGAATAGCAAGCATCTGGGTATCGACCTCGCACACGAAGACGGGTTGTTTCCCTGGTTTCTGCGGCATTTTCTTGAGTGCTCTCACTTCGGGTGTAATCGTTGCCGTGAACAAGAGTGTTTGCCGCTCCGCCGCAGGGGGCAAAACCGACAAGCATTGCTCAACATCAGGCAGCATGCTACCGGGCCCAGTTGCATGAAGCAGCCGATCAGCCTCGTCGAGGACAACGAAACGGACTCGCCGCAACCCACATATGGTGTCCTCTCCAGAGCTTCGAATATGATCCGCCAATCGCCCAGGGGTAGCGATAATGAGGTGTGGTCGCCGCGCCATGGCGATGGCTTGAGGTCGCATGTCGGAGCCACCAGTGACTAGGATAGCTTTCAAACTCTGCGGAGACGAAATGGCCTTGAACTGCTCATATATCTGGAGTGCCAGTTCTCGTGTAGGCGTCAAAATGACTCCAAATACAGCGCTGGGATCCTCTGCCCATTTTTGCAATATGGGAACGGCAAAGGCGACTGTCTTTCCGGAGCCGGTTCTGCTGCCACCAATGCAATCTCGGCCCTTGAGAATTTCAGGTATACAGCCCTTCTGAATACCCGTAGGCCGGTTGATAGCCATATTTGCAAGTGACTGTACGAGCCATGGTCGAACTTGGAGGCTTGAGAAGCTTGTGTTCGGGTCGGTTGGTGCCAGAATTGGATTCTGCGGTTGGATCCTGGCGTCACGTTCAACTTGGATGTGATCTGTTGCTCGCCTTATTCGGGACGGTGCCTTGATGGTTGAGAGAAGTGTCTGGAGACGCCGCTCGTCATCCCCGCTGTCGTCTTCATCCTCGCTTGGGCCAGGGTTTAGTGAGTCGGCGTCACCGTCTACAGGTGTTGTTCGTCGTCGTTTTCTTGCTCCAGAGTTGTCCAGGTAGTCCGACTCTGCGGAGGACCCAACCTTGGGTGCATTGTCGATATCGGAGGCAGAATCCAGCTCTTTAAAATCTACGGCGCCGCGTAGTGTTCCCCGGTCAGGCATGGTGAACATCGACCTGCATTGTAGTTGGATTACTTCAAAGTGTCCTGGCGAGCCGGCTGTTGCATCACGGCATGGAAGAAAAAATAGTTTGGACTTTAATGTTGGGTGGGGCCAAATCAAATTTTTGGTGGGGCGGTAAGTCAGTGGCTCGTCAAAGTCAGGACTCGGGACTCGGGACAGCCGTTCGGAGTCAGCAAGTCAGGCCAGGAACAGGCATGTTCGGCAGGAGCAGGTAGGTGGGCTCCTGGGTGTGCCTCGTACCTGCTTTGAGACCTTGGCGTAAGCGTCGCCGTGAGCTGAGTGCATCGAATGCGATGCGCGTCAGCGTCGGTGTTTTTCGTCTTTCCTCCAAGTTCTTTTGGTCGCAATGCCTTACAATGCCTGTGGTGTTGCATTGTCCTGCGCTGATTCCGAAATTCAAGGGGCTCTTTTACGCCTTCTGTACTCCGTACCACGCACACGCAACTCGAGGATGAGGATCTCCTTTCGAAACTACGCTTCTCAGTACTGATACAGTACCACACAACATGGAGGTGGGTAGACGCGCGCTTGTAGGCGGGAGTCGTCATCAATACGGAGTACTAGTTGGTGAACGCATCTTCCCTGGTGGCACCAGCCGGCCACAATCCCAGCGGGTTTGCAAGCGAGACGCAAGGTCCACTGGGTACGGAGTACTCCATGGTGCAACACTGAACAGTATGCTGAGACAGGTGGCGGACGACGAATGCGACTGCATCTTCAAGGACGAGGTTGTACGAAATAAATACGATGCCACTGACAGACCGGATAATGGAGTCTTGCGAAGGCATGGCTCGACATACTTGGATTGTGTGGGATTCTTCTGCCGGGCTTCTGAATCGTAATTGACTCGAATGAGTAGCGTATTGTAGATGCGATGTCTGGTGGGCGAGCAGAGAGCATTCATGGAGTTGCCCATGCACATCAAATACATGATTGAGTGACGCCGGCCAACGTCTTGTGGAAGATCCGATCCGCCCACTGGTACGGAGTCCTTCTCCCCATGGCTGCAACGACACTACTCTACGTAGTCAACTCCTTTCCCGATCTCACACAATACGTGCTTCACATCCCTGAAACCTCCATACTCTCTCTACTCAATAGGGAATCTGCTTGCTCGCTCCTGAGGCTGACAGCTGGACCGGGCGTTGAGCCTTGTGAAGGAACTGCCATGCCGATCCAGCGCTGCCTGATTACCCATGTTGTATCCAAAGGCCATCATGATGTATGATGCACTATGGGAGCAAGGTCTGGACAAAGCGAAACGTAGCCGCTCAGTCTATCCTGTCCCATCACTCACCAGTGGCCACGGTCCCTGGCGGAATCATGCCAGATACTGCTTGCCAAGCTGAATTTGAAGGCCCTTTTGCGAGGCGGGCAGCAGCGAAAAAGAGGGGTTTCGAGCAGAGAGCTTGGGCAGCGGAGGGGAAAAGTACGGCCAGTCACTGTGACGGCCACCAAGATCAATCAGGCTTCCTTTGGTCTTTCACACCTCCACACGCGCGCCTTCACCCTCAAACGACCTCCCGGTGGCCCAGTCTCGTTGGCCAGCCTGAAGACGAACCCAGCAACCAGGCCAGCTTTGGGTAGTGGCTGGTAGGGTCGCACCACACGTTGAACAGGCCATGGCAGAACAGACCGAGGCAAGCCCTGACATGTAGAGCAACAGGGGTTGGTGGGGAGCACAACAGATGCGTTGAAAGGATATGTGACCGCTGAATGCATAGGACTGTGCAGAGGAACTTACTGGGTGAAGCCGGACGAGTTGCCGTCAATTTCTTGGGGCATCGCTGCTGTCTCTGTGCTCGCCGCTCGGTTAGTTACATGACATACTACTCCGTACTCCGTGCATCATATCCGCAACATACTAGGAACATGCCTAGGTAGGTACCTAGGTAACTACCTCGGCCTTGTCCGAGGTCCAGGTTTTGACGACAAAGGGAGGAGGGGAAGGATTTGAGGAGGAAAGCTGTCGATCGGAGGCTCTGCATCCTGTTACAACTGCTGTGGCCTGCCCGTGGAACTGCAGAAAATGGAGTACGGGTCAAGTGTCCGGGCACGCAGGTGGTTACGTACTTAACCTACTTAGTACTTACTTGAGTAAGTACTTAAGCAGGCAGGCACTTGCGTGGTGCGTACTTGAGAACCTGACCGGAGAGATGCTGGCACTAATATAAAGGGCAATCAATATTGAAAGCCCTGGAGATGCTTTTGAGTCTGTACACTGTACATGGAGGAGCCATGGAAGCTCCGCCGGCCGGTGGCTTGGACGTTTCACGGGTTGTGGGTGGGTGTCGGCATTGGGGGCCGACGTGGGTTAACTGGTGTCGGGAGTGCACTATCGAGGCGGCTACTTGAGTGTCTTTCAGAAGTACCCAGGTAGCGGACCAGCACCGGGCACGTAACGTCGAACTACGTACCTAAGTAAGTACCTAGGTACTTCACTTGAGTACGGACCGTGCTGGTGCTCGGAGCGTGGCAGCGGCTCGCGGATTAGCGCCCAGTGTCCACCAAAGTTTTTGGCATCATGGAGCCTTTCAGCCACTTGAAGCAGAACACCGCAGGCTCGTCACCCCCGGTGTTCATGGTGATGTACGTATGAGCAATTACCGAGTGCGGAGCCGCAGTGCCTCGAGCGCTGGGTGCACAGATCAAGAACCGGTCTTGAAGCGTTGAACTGTTGCAGGTCGGAGTACGGAGTACGGAGGGAGCACTCCGTACTGACAACAACATTCGACCTGACAGCAGCAGCACTTGGTTCGCGCACTTGTGTTCTCGGGTATGTCGCGGCAACGCCGATGTGCAGATGCAAGCAGCAGCTGTGTTCCCGGCACCTAAAGATACCTACCAAGCAAGTACTCGAGTACTTACTTAAGTAGGTACTGGTGTGTAGACAATTTGACGCCAATCAAGTAGTACCGAGTACGGAGTGGGTGTCTCGCCCAAGCCCTCGGCCCGTCCAGTCTGCTCGTCTGTCCATGCCGCCCAGCTCAGGCTGCCGCTCAAGCCAGCTGCTGGTCCCTCTGTCGCCCTGTCGCCTTGTCGCCTGTTGCCTGTTGCCTGTCCTCTCCTGCCCCAAGCAGTGTTCCCACCCGCACCCGCACCCGCCCCTGCACCTGCACCTGCACCTCCTTCATCCCGCTGCCTTCTGAGCTGCGTTGAAACACTGAAATCCTCCTCAACCCACGCCAGATGCAGGCCATTCCTTCTTTTCCAAATCACTTTTATTTTGCATTCAACTTGCTCTCCCCCTTTCCTACTCCCCGCCGTCCATCGCTCGTGTTGAAGCCACCAAGTGCTCGAAGCCTCAATACAATATACTAGCTTCCTTTCTCCCCGACTCTCATTCGAACGAAAGCAGAATCTCGGGACTGTTGGACCATCTGAATTCCGCCAGACCAGAGCAGACTGCACTTCGCAAATCAAGCGGCCCCGTCCCCACTGGAGCACCCCTCCTCATCGTCAAGTGTCCACAGAGCATCATTCAACTCTAGCTTGCGTGTGCTTTGCCCGACTTTTCGGGCCTCGAAAAAACGACCAAACTCAACTGTCTTCCTTCGATTGAGCCAAGACAACATCAGCTCTCGACGCTTCCCAACCACCCTCCCTCAGCAGAGCTGGTTTACTTTGATCAACTTCTTTCTTCTGCCTCGTTTCTGCTTGCTTGTCCCGCCCTCCTCCCCGGGTGCCGTCTCTCCTACCTGTTGCCAGCGACCACAGCCACCATCACGGCCGATTTTCGCCGTAAGAAGCTTCTGAGGTGCCGTTTCCTCGTTTGCAGCTCTCCGGTAGCCGCCCTGGCCCCGGCCCTGGCGTGTAGGCTTCGTTGTCATGGCGGACACATCCAGCTCGCAGTCACAGAACGCGGACCCAGCAGCGCAATTGGTGAGTGCCGCACTTGTGGACGGGACTCTCTCCTGCATAGAATGAACTGACCGGAATTTCTCCCTCAAACAGCCTATTCTTGCTGCTGCGCCGCCGACCTCTGCCCCTTCCAATGTCGTTCCTCAACTTTCATCTCCCGCTCCAATCCTCAGACCCGCCATTCCTGGAGGCCGCTCGGCTGGCCGTCCGCCGAGGCTCGGTATTTCTATTCCTGCCTCTCCTAATGTGAAGCCTGTTGGCAACCAGCAACAAGTCCAGCCGGCTCCTTCAAGACCACCGCTTCCAACCTTACATCTGGCCACGCCTATGGGCACGCGAGTAACACCGTATGAGCAGCCGCCCGGATCGCAGGGAATCCAACCTGGCCAGTCTGCCGACGGCGGCAGCGAAAGCAGCGCAGCTCACTCGAGGTCAGGCAGCTTTGGCCCTTTAGACGGCAGGGCAAGTAACCCTACGTCGGCAGGATCTCAATTTTCTGCGCTTTCTTTTGCTTCGCAGTATGGCATTCCCGTGACGAGAGCTCAGGGGACTCCAGATCCCGTATCGGCTGTGGGGTCCATGTATTCTGAGAGAAGCGAAGGCTGTGTCTCCGTGGATAGAGATGGCAGTCATCAAGAGTCTGGCATGTTTGCTGGCTGGACTATGGAGAAGCTCAAAGAAGCTGATGTTGAGGACCTTGATGATGAAGGCTGGAGAATTGCCAGCATGAACAACTTGATTGAGGAGCTCGGTCATCTTGGTGAAGGCGCCGGGGGTGCTGTTACCAGGTGCAGGCTGAAAGAACGCAAGACTGTGTTTGCGCTCAAAGTAAACGGTCTACCCGTGGCTGCTCGACTCTGACGTGGGCTAACATGGGTTACAGGTCATTACTACAAACCCGGACCCTGATGTCAAGAAGCAGATTGTACGAGAGCTGGGCTTCAACAAGGATTGCGCATCAGAGCATATCTGTCGTTATTACGGTGCGTTTGTCGACCCATCCACGGCCACCATCTCCATTGCTATGGAGTTCTGTGAAGGCGGGTCACTGGACAGCATTTATAAAGAGGTCAAACTACAAGACGGCCGAACAGGAGAGAAGGTTCTGGGAAAGATCGCCGAGGGTGTATTGTTGGGGCTCACTTACCTGCACACTCGACGGATCATCCATCGAGACATTAAACCATCAAATATCCTCTTGTGTCGAGATGGAGCAGTGAAGCTGTGTGACTTTGGAGTTTCTGGCGATTTTGGAACCAAGGGAGAGGCCAACACCTTCATCGGCACCAGTTATTACATGGCACCTGAACGCATCACAGGCCAGTCATACACAATTACATCAGACGTGTGGTCTACGGGCGTAACATTGCTCGAAGTTGCTCAAAATCGCTTCCCATTCCCGGCCGACGGGACTGAGTCGCAGCCGAGAGCAGGATTAATCGATCTGCTGACATACATCGTCCGGCAACCAGTGCCGAAGCTCAGGGATGAGCCTGACGTGAACGTGTACTGGAGCGACAATTTCAAGTATTTCATCGAGTGCTGGTGGGTGTCTCGACTTTGCATTCCTTGTTCATTTGCTGACCTTTGGACAGCCTAGAGAAGCGACCCGATCGCCGAGCTAGCCCGTGGAAGATGCTCGAGCACCCCTGGATGCTCGACATGCGCCCTAAGCGAGTTAACATGGTTAAATATCTATCCTCTGTATGGAAATGGGAAAAGCAACAGTCAACGCCATAAAATACCATGAAGCAACTGTATACAATTCGTGGTAACGGGGTATTTGCATCGGCTCAGCTCTGCGGAGAACATCTCGGCCCCCTAGTTTTTCTCCTCAACATACGTAAGTATATCATGGGGTCCATGCCTACCACCGATTCGCACTTAGAATTATGAAACCGGGCTCAACGAAGGCTCGGACGCATGAACATCAATACCGCACACTTTTATATTTGCTGTTCCACAGAAGTCTGCACATATTATAAGACCATCGCATTCATACGAAACGCGTGCACAAGCGCCACGAATACTTTGCGAAGAGAAGCATACTTACTACTGCATATGGGACGGGGTTCCTCTTTGGGTATTATTTCTGGAGAGAATGAAAACGGGTTGTTGCGTCTTTTTGGAAATTTTATTTTCCTTGCACTCTTGTGACATTGGGGCATCAATCTTGTGGGCAGGCGGATGTTGTTCAGGAATTTTATTCTATATTCTCCTAAATTGTTCAACATCATTGAATAAGATCTAAACTCACGAGCTGTCTAACTTTGGTCTGATGGTGTGGCCTCATCCGAGCGATCACCCATCAGTTCTCTGAGCGCAACTGTCGCGTAGGCACTGCTTGCCAGCTGGAACTTGAGGACAACAGCTATCTTGAAAGATTCGGGGGGCGGCTCTGTCTCCGTCATTGCATCAACGCTATTACACGTAGCGTCCTGCTCGCTCTTGGCCTCCTCCATTTCTGCCTCAGTTTGGTCCTGACCATTACCCTTGATCCTCTTTCCAGGGTCATCCTCGTCGTCGTCTCTCTTCTTCCTCTTCCCCTGAATCCCATTCCTCCTCGGGCCGCTGATCAAATCCACGTCTGTAGGGTGCATCTGCTCTGTGTCATCCCCGTACAACTTGAACTCCACACTGGGATCACCCAAGAATCGCTGCATCAGCTTCCTATAACGCCCCGGGAGGCTGAACTCTCTTCTCAAGCGACGCATGTTGTGCGGGTCAAGACTACCGTTCTCTTGGCGGCCCATGAACTCCTGGTAAAACTTGCCGATTTCGTTGTCGGGATAAGCCACGTCGTAGCCCGGGGAAGGAAGAACAATGTCGTAGACGGTGTATTTGCCGCTGGCGGCCTCCTCTTCCGTGAGTGGACGAGCACGCAGGGGCGCGTCGTCTTGCTCGTCCTCGAGAGGGTTGATGATTTTGTCGCCGTCCTGGTCGTGTTCCGCGACGGCGGGTTGACTCTCTCTCTCGGAAATGACCAAGTCACCCTTTGTGACCTTGGTGCCGTGGAGGGCGTACCGCTGGCTGGCGGCGTGGTTCCACACGTGTGATTGATAGGCGTGGAGGTACATTGATCGCAGGCCGCGGGTGATGTGTGTGATGGCGCCCGCAAAGTCACGCGTTGAGCTCTTGCCCATGCGGGTGAGGTGGCGGAGGATGCAGGATTCTGCTGCAAAACGCCGCGGGATGACCTTGGCAGCTCTGTTGAGGTCCTTGCCTGTTTGGAAGAGCATGCAGGCGAGGTGGCGAAGGGCATCGTCCTTCTTGGAGGGTTCTTCGGGGAGCTGGCCGGCTTCGGCTTTGGCTGCGATTTCCGGGTCGTACTTGAGTAGGGCGCTGACAGCGGCCTCGAAGTCGCCTCCGAGGATGAGCTTGCCGACTTGGTGGGTGCCTACGTCGTGGGTTCCGAAGCGCTGGTGGCCAAAATAGTTGATCCATCCGTGGGAGGACATGTGCTTGAGGGCTGACTCGACATTGTTCCTCATGGAAGCGAGGCGCTCGGACGGCGGCTGAGTGCCGGTTTCGTCTGCCATTTTGCAGTTCTTGAGGGTGATGACGAATTCGTTGCCGAAGAGCTGGCCCAGGTGGATGGGTTCCTCGCGGTACTCGTAATCGCCGGTCGAGATGCCCCGGAGCTTGTCGTTGAGCCCTGCCAGCGCCCGCTTGCGCTGGTGCCGCACCGAGCAGCGCTGCGTGGTCGATGCGCGGCGGTCCTTGGTCCCGGCGTACCCAATGGTTTGGGGCCTCATTCTGAGGAGGCGGGCAATTTGGTTGGCGGCGTCCATGGTGTCGCGGTTGTCCTTGTACAGCGTGAAATGGAGATATTCGCCCATCTGTTCGTCGTCGCCCGGCTGACCACGGCGTCCTCTGCTCTTCTTGCCGTTGCGCGGGGAGACGAAGCTGGCGACGACGACTCCGTCGTGGCCGGTGGTGGTGTCGAGACGGGACTTGAAGATACGGCGGACATGTTGGTGGAGCTGGGCGCGTTTGGACTTGTCGTCGAGAGCGGGCGAGGTAGCCGTGCTGGAGTCGTTGGGTGAAGGGCCGTTGCCCTGGTTGAAGAGCTTGACGAGGTCCTGGGCGAATTGGGCTGTAGAGAGGTCTTGGAGAACTCTGATGTCTTGGTCAGGAATCTCGACGGTCGTTGGCTCCGTGTGAGGTTTTCCATCCTGGCGTGAGCTTCCTGGGGCTTCATTTTGAGTGTTTGAGCTGCCGTCTTGACTTTGAGGTTGCTGCGGCTGTTGAAGCATTACTAGTAAGCTGATGTTTTCGGACCTCGTATCGATGATGAAGAGGTTCGTTCCATCTTACTGTGGTCTCGTTTCCAAGCCCTATCGTACGCAAATGAAGAACCGATCCATCTTGGCTGATCTCATTCACTTGGAAGTCTGAGAATCTAACCTTGTCTATAAGCCTTTGACGAGAGAAAAGAAGAAGACGGAGAAGAGAAATGGTGGTAATGGAAAAGCATAGGTACCTGACTCTCATGTCGCCAGTCCATGAACACTCGAGTGGCGTGGTTCGCTGAGTAATGCCAATTGACGCCGCATAGGACGATCCCGCGCGTGCATTGAAGTGCTCCTTATCGGCCATTGTAGCGCCTGCTTTTGCACTTGGAATACAACGTTGGCGCGAATCGATGCCGGGTAAAAATGTAATCTTTCTTCTACTTCACTTGCTGGCAGTCTCTGCTCGGCGGCGGCAGTTGTGAGAAGCAGCCGTTTTGGGAAGGCGGTCGCTCATTGTGAGCTAGAATTGGTAGGCGGTGAGGAAAAATTCAAGAGGGGCTTTTGAAAATCGAATCTGACAACTCTGGCTTGCATCTTAGATTCGGGGAGCCGGGCAGTGTCTCGCCATCTTGGCCCTCCCGTTCATTATCGGTACCACGGAGGCTGCGAGGCCAGTTTGCTCCGGTATTCAGACAATATCTGACTTGCTCGGCTCGTATGGGCACCGCAAGGACTCGACATTCCCACATGGACCGCCAAACCTACTGGTACCAGATCAGATGCAGCTCTGTTTCCCACCGCACGTACTCCGTAGGTCCACTTGCATTAGCATGTTACATCAATAGGTGGGCTGCCACCATCTCCCAGACAAGCAAATTGTATAAAGAGGGGGCGAAAGCATACAATAGACTCGATATTTTAGAATACTGGAGTCTTGGAGGCAATGGCATACGTGCTTGCTTTGGACAGACACAACATAAGGACGGGACAGAGTCAGCAATTTCCAAGGGCAAGATGGGACACGGTTATATATGCAAGTAAGGCGAATTGCACTCAGCACCAAGGCTCAGTCTATGCTCGGTCCGTCATTATGGGACGAGTTGACGTAGCGGCGCACCATTGTCAGCATCCGAGGCAATAATTGCTGCCGCATATAGCACATCTTGTCCTCGGTAGTCCAGTCACTGTGTCCACGAATTCAGTATCCAAGGCCGTCCATGAGACGGCGCAGTTGGACACTCGCCTGCGGCGTAATGAACATCAAACAGCTGGACGAACTGGCCAATCTGACTGCGTACCCGCGCAGCTCTATAGCCAACGCCGTCCCGAGAGAGTGGCCTTGTGCTGTGCGGACTCCGACCATGCCGATGGCCTGGCCAGGCTGGCGGGCCTCCACCGTAGCGACGGCGGATGGTTCCATACTCTCGCATCGACACCCATATCGGCTGGCTGCAAACCCGCCGTCGTCGACGATAACCGCAGGCCACGGGCCCGGCGGTCTGAGCGCTGCGAGTTGGATGTCAAGTCTCTTCTCGTCTGCTATGAGGATCATAGCTTGCCTCTGGATACAGTAGATACACTTCGGTCATCGTCCCGCATATTTCTGTGTGCATCGTCAGCAAATGAAGGAGAAAAATGCAGGGAGGGGGAAAGGATGATAGTTGGGGCTACTATAGTCTGAGCCCTTTGTGGGATTGAACTCGAAACAATCGGGTCCACCACTCACAGGGAAGTAGGTAGAACAAGAAAAAGTGATGGCATATGCCGAAATCTGCGTCCTCGTTGCGCTCTGGCATCGTCAAGTGTTCTCGGGTAATGAATAGTGTTGCTCCCGTATGCACAGAGCAAAGGATTCAGATGTGGTCGTGATGCGGTTGATTGGGCGGGAGAAACCCACCGTTTCCTGTTTCGGCCCGTCAACCCATCTTCCTTCATCTTTCTACCGAAATGAATCTGGGCGCGGTAACTGGCAAATGAAATGGCCTCTTCCCCGGCCCGGCAAATCGATCAGATGCCCGCCATGCCAATCGACAAAGAGAGAAGCCGGGGCATCCTTCAAAAGACATGCGATGAAAAGACTGTCCCGGGCACGTTGGGCTCCAATGACAGACGACATGAGGAGATGGCCGGCTCAAAGCAGGGCGGAATGCTTGCCCAACTGCGCAGCCTCGAAGCCCGCATGGAAGCCAAGGTCGGGATCGAATCCGAAGCCATTGTTCGGAAGCGCGCGCAGGACAAGAAACATGTGCCGTGGACGGAAGAGCTTACCATGGCCCTACTGTGGGCCAGCGGAACGATGAACACGTCTTGCTTTGCGACTGGCTTTCTGGGATGGCAATTTGGACTGAGTCTGAAGCAAGCTATTCTCATCACCATCTTTGCGTCGATTCTCGGCGGCATGGTAACAGGCTACTGTGCGACGTTTGGCGCCGCCACGGGACTGCGACAGATGAGCGTGGGCAGGTACAGCTTCGGATGGTGGCCGAGCAAGCTTGTTGCTCTTCTCAACTGCATTCAGCAGATGGGGTGGGCGGCCGTTTCTTGCATCACGGGCGGCCTCGCGTTGACGGCAGTTTCGGACGGCCACGTCTCCTTGATCGTGGGCATCGTCGTTTTGGCCGTGGTGGCGCTGGCCATTTCCTTCATTGGACTTGACGCCATCTTGGTCTACGAGCGATATGCGTGGGTCGTCTTCTTGGTCATCTTTCTCATCATCTTGGGCGAAACGGGAAAATACGCCGACAACTCGACGGGCGCCTCCCTCTCGGGCGCCACGTTGAGTGGCGCGGTGCTCAGTTTGATTGCCGTCGTGTACGGTTCCAGCGCCGCCTGGTGCACGACGGCCAGTGACTACTACGTCCATTATCGCGCCGACGTCAGCCGCGCCAAGGTTTTTCTCATGACGAGCTTTGGAGTCGCGATGCCGACGTCTATTGGCATGCTGGCGGGCTGCGTGGTGGCCTCTACCCTGAACAATAAGCCCGCGTGGCGAGAGACTTATGAGCGTGACGGGCTGGGGTATCTGATGCAAGACGTGCTCTACCCACGAGGCTTTGCCAAGTTTCTCCTCGCATTGCTGGTGTTGTCTGGCATCAACACCAACGTCATCAGCATCTACAGCGCGTCCCTGTCGTTTCAGCAGCTGGCACGGCCGTTGGCTCTGGTTCCCCGATTTATTTGGACCCTGGTCTCGTTTGCGTGCATCCTCGCGCTGGCAGTGGGTGGACGAGAACAGCTCAACGCGTACCTCCAGAACTTTCTGAGTCTGCTCGGGTACTGGTGTACGAGCTATGGGATTATTCTGCTAGAGGAGCACTATGTGTTTCGCAAGGGCAGGTTTGAGAATTACGATCTCGAGGGATGGAATGATGCTGCGAGATTGCCATTGGGCATCGGCGCGGCCGTTGCGTTTGGGCTCGGCGTGGTGGCGTGGTGCATGGGCATGAACCAGACGTGGTTCGCTGGACCAGTGGCCAGGACAATTGGCGACGGCGGTGGTGATGTTGCGAACGAGTTGACGTTTGTAGTGACGGCCTTGGGGTATTTGCCGGCGAGGTATCTGGAGTTGAGGGTTGTTGGCCGCTGATGTTCCATTCCTCAGGTGCCCACTCCGTGGCTCCGTACTTGAGTAGGTCTTCAGGTACGACGATGATGATGCGGAACACGGAGTAGTTACCATGTATGTTGTCTGTACGAAGGAGACAGTCTCCAGACCGACGACGCTCACCGCGGGCACCGGTCACCGTGCAATTTGCAAATGGGTAGCAGCAACAGTTCAGCATTTTCAGGGACTTCTTTCGGGGACAGACGGTGCGGGACGGTGCACCTGCTCCACCGGCGCAAGGAAGCCGGCGACATGATTGGCCAGCCATGCCAACCAGAGGAGACACATATGGGCCTGTCGGGCGTGTGCGTGTGCACGCATTCTGCTGGTGTCCTGATCGTCCTCAAAGGTGTCCCCTTTCCGCAACCAGGGCCTGCTCTCCTCTCGCGTCGCCGCCAGTCTTCCAACTCTCTCTCTCTCTCTCTCCCTCTCTCTCTCTGCAAACGTCCCCTACCGAGCCCGTCCCGGCGAGCCGCCAGTCTTCAACATGGATGCGCCAGAACCTGAACAGACTCCTTTCGCCGCTGTCACAGCCCACACGACAAAACTGCAAAGGGTACGCCGTGGCGATTATGGCGACCGTCGGGAGAAATGTTGGCGCTAATTCAAAAGTAGCATTACCAAGCCCTGCTCGACCGGTCTACGCCGTTTGTGCTCTACAGGTGGTTCGCGACCGGCGTCACCCTGCTGCTCTTCTTCGTGCGCATTTTTGTCATCCAGGGATGGTACATTGGTATGTTGGATGCTCAATGCGCCGGCAGCCCCAGGACGTGACATGACGGGCTTTCCGCAGTTCACTGACTGAAGCTTCCGACAGTTGCCTACGCCCTCGGCATCTATCTGCTCAACTTGTTCCTGGCTTTCCTGCAGCCCAAGTTCGACCCTTCCAACGATGCCATCGACCAGGACATGGAAGACGGGGCCATAGGAACGCTCCCGACCAAGCAGGATGAGGAGTTCAAACCCTTCATCAGGCGTCTCCCCGAGTTCAAATTCTGGTACTGGGCTACCCGTGCCGTCGCCATTTCCTTCTTCTGCACCTTCTTCGAATTCTTCAACATTCCTGTCTTTTGGCCCGTGCTGGTCATGTACTGGATTATTCTCTTCGTCCTGACGAGTAAGTCTTTCCCTTGTTCCACGCTGGAGAGCACTTGATCTGACTCTGGTTCCCCTAGTGCGCAAGCAGATTCAGCACATGATCAAGTACCGCTACGTTCCCTTCACCATGGGCAAGAAAAACTATCGCAAAGATGGCTCTTAGCCGTTTCCCTACGCATGAGAACATGTGGGGGACAGCATCCCTTCTGCCCCCGTTCAGGCATGAATTGTTTATTGTACAAAACACTTGCTCGCATTATGAAGGCCGGTTGTTAACGTTATGGGAGATGATGCGCGGGCTTGAAATTGGAATGGGCTTGTAACATCAGAGGGATTGGCATTTCGTGCGTAGCCGGGAGGGACATAGATCGGCATTAGACTCATGGATGCGGTGTCATCTCATGACGGAAAAGGGAGACGAGGTGAGGCCGGAGAGCGCGCCCGATCCGAATCTTGGAGGTGGCCCGGTAATGAGAGACAGAACAAAAGAATTGAATCAAAGTTACCATGTTGGAAACGCTT